CCCCCCATCGGTAACGGGCTCTCCGCGTCCGGTTTTCTGTAGAGGCTGCCATTGTAATCCACCACGCCGACTGGAGGAGCCGCCGGAGCCCGCCTGCCCGTCCGCCGCCGAAGGAGAGGAGCCGCCTGCGCACCCCGGAGCTTTGAGCTGCTCCCGGCGCGGGCGCGGAGCCGATCCTTGATCCGAGTTCCGGATCTTGGATCCGGCCGCCAAGGGCTCAGACTTGCGGCCTCGGGTTGGAAGGAAAACCTGTTCCGGAGTAGCTCGCTTCCGGAACCGGACGACGTGTGGGGCGCTCTGACCCGCCACCCCCGGAGCCAGGCTTGGAGAGTGGAGCCGGCGGAGTGGTCAGACTCCTCGCGGCTCGGGGCACCCTGCCTCTGGCGGGGGTGGGAGATGGCTGTGGCCTGGGGACGCTGCCCCCCGTCCCCCCCCCGCCTGAAAGTTCGACGTGGCACACATTCCTCGGGGTGCTGCCGCCGCCGTCCCGGGGCGGTGGCGGCCCTGTGAGAGGCCTGGGGCGTCTCGAGGAGGGGCAAACCGAAGCCTTTCTGAAGAAGAAGGCCAGGCGGGCGTGGAGGGGGCCAGAGGCTTTGGGAAAAGCCCTCGGAACGCGGCCAAGAGTTCTTCCTACCCAGTCTTTGCCAAAGCTTTTGTGCGGGTCGGGCATAGCCCGGGTAGTCGTAGGCCTAAGCTCAGGGGGTGCGGGGAGGGGAGGGGGGTAGAGACTGGGACACCCTTTTGCTTCTGTTTGTACCCTTTCTGATCCTCCTCCCATCCCTGGAGCTCAGCCTGGACGCACAGCAAAAAAAAAAAAAGAAAGAAAAAAAGAGACCAGACCCAGGTACCTCCTGCGGATGCAGTCGTCCCAAAGCACCATGGTCACGGTCATTTCCAGGAACCGCAGCGCCCACTCGGCACGGGAGCAGGGACAGCGCTAGATTCGTGTACAAAACCTGTGTACCCCTCTATATATATGTTACATAGAATGTATATATGTTGGGAACATGCTCGCTTCTCCCTTGTGTCGCCGCCGTGCGTCGTGCGCCCCGCAGCACAGAACCCCCAACCGGGCCCTTTCAGGAGAAGGGGCTACTGTGATGTCCCTTCCCCGTGCAGCCACCACCAGCCCGGGCCAGTCCTTGCCAGTCTGTCCACCTGTCCGTCCGTGTCCTCAGCTCTGTCCACGCTTCGATAGGCCTGACGCAGCCCCCTGCCCGGGGTCGCCCTAGCAACTTCCTGTACATATGACTGTAAAATGGTAAACGTGTGTATTATATCTGGCCTCGTTATATAGTGTATATATATGTATACATATACATATATATAATATATATGAAGACTGTAAATGTTAAGACGACTAGTGTTCTTATTAGTATATTGCTTCACACTGAAGATTGTGTGTATCGAGCTGTTTCTAAAAGATGTTTATTTTCCTTAAGAGTTAAAAAAAAACAGTCATTGCATTCAGAAAAAAAAAAAGTCAATAAAGATACAACGATTGTTTTGGAAGTCTGCAGCCCCTGGATTCTGACCAGATTCTGCTGGGAGTTGGGACCAGGCTTTGTGTGGCACAAATGGGGATCAGATTCTGCCAAGTTGGGACGCTAGAACATTAGACCTCTAATGCTTTGATGGCCTTATCTGCCCATGTGGTGTCCAGTCCTGAACATAGCATGGGTGGGACACTAGGAAACCCAGGTTGTAACTCAGTAGGCTCTTGAGTCTGTGTCACCCCAGTTCCTGGGGAGTGAGAAGGACAGTGGGGACCATCAAGGCCCTAAGGGTTGATACAAACATGGTCAGATATGAATGGGAAAGGTCTACTAGAGGAAAGATCTACTAGAGGTCATAACGTTGGAAAGGCCCAAATTCTGTCCTTTATGGTGGTGGGCTCAGGGACAGGAGGCGCTAGACCCTCGAGGGAGAAGGGTCAATGTAGCCCTCAGCTGAAGTACACTGTCCTGACCAAAGGAACAAAGCCCAGGTTATAAATAATTTCATTCTTTATTCTCTGTACAAAACTCGACCTACGAAAATAAAAGTTTGTAAAAGGCAAAGTAGCACATGAGCCTCTGAAGCCAGGATGCTGGCTCACCAAAATCTACACTATGTACAAGTCCTCCAGAAGGGAGAGAGGCCCTTTGGACAAGGCCCCCCTCAGCTTAGGAGAAACGTGCCTCTCCTTCCTCTAGACCGGTTGGGGGGGGGGGTGGCCCACTAAGTTATCTGCAAAGTCAGAGCCACAGACGGCTCCGTCCCTGCACTTCCAGGATCGGCCACCAGAGGTCACCACTATCCTGGCTGCCGCTTTCAGGTTGGGGCGGGGGCTGAGGTGGCTGGGGACTTAGGTCCCCAAGCCTCCCCTCCCCGCCTCCCCCCGACACACACCCCGACCCTCCCTCCTAGGCAGGAAACCAGGACGCTGAGACCAAGGCTTGCCGCCCAGAATCTAGCTGTTGGTGACGGTGGTTCCGCCGCCGAGGCGCAGGAGCATCTGTTGGCAGTCGTGCAGCAGCCGCCGATCGCCGAGCTTCTCGAGCGTGCGAGCGGCCTCGGCCAGCATGCCCACGCGCTGCCCAGGCGCCGACAGGAAGCCGGGAGGCAGGTAACAGGAGGCCAGCAGCAAGGCCTCAGTGTGCTCCCGCCACGTGGGCCGGGGCTCAAGCTCCCCGGCCGCGCCTGCGCACAAGGAAGGGGGCCGCATCAGGGGCCGAGCTCAGGCCTGGCCACACCCCCTAGTGGGCGTGCCCGGCGCAGCCGAGGCCCCGCCCTGAGCACTAGACCTCCCAGCACACAGGTGTCTCAGACTCCTCCTCCACCCACCCCACCCCTCCCACACACACCCCTTCAGCCCTCACCTCTAGGTCCAAACAGATTGTCACACAATTCACAGTACTGAATCCCATAGTCAGCCCCAAATGATCTCTCAAGTAACCCAGTGCTTAGTATCCACATCTGAGCTCTGCCCACGTGGGCAGGAAGGAAAAGTAGGACTGCAGGCTCTGCCAGTCCCCCATTCTTCTATAATTATGGGCATCAGCCTCCTACCTCCTTTGCCACCGGGGCCTGCCCGCCTCCTCAGACTTCGGTCCAGGAGCTGGTGTGTCCGTGCAGGGCTGGCCCCTGCCATCAGCCGGGCTGTGGCCTCATGTAGGAATACCTGAGTGGGTGGGGCCAGGAGAGGCCAGGTTCAGGCCCTGTCCCCCCTCTCCCCCGTATCTGCTGCTTCAAGTACCCACTGTGAGGTGAGGGGCCATTGGCACTCACCCTCCGCATGGCAGGCCGGAAGTTCTGTGCCAGACGCCTCAGGCTGCTCAGGTCCCTTTGGAAGCCACGCAGCTCCAGGGCAGAGGCCTGGGGCCCGCTGCTAGTGCCCGGAGCTGCCTGCGGTGAGGCCAGTGGCTGCTGCTGTCGCCACAGGCTAGTGCGTACCACCAGGAGCAGGTCACACAGGAACAGCTGCATGGCCTGGGGTGGCAGGCAGGACAGGGGTCATGGGGGGGGTTCCAGCTGCATGAGGGGCAGGGTGGGGGCCCGCGGTGCCAGGGGCCGACTCCGGGCTGCACTGCCGAGGCACTGCACCCGCCTCACACACATGCAATGCAACAGCAATGCACCGCGGGGCCGCCCGCCTCTCCAGGCCCCCACACCCACCTGAAAACAGCCAGCCCCCAAGTGGTGCCAAGCATGCTGCTCACCACACCCCTCCTTCCTGGTGCTGCCAAAAAGGGCTAATCACTCTCCCTGAACTTAAGCCTTAGCAAAAAGCAATCAGCTGGATTCCCAGGCCTGTGTGCCTTGGCCTGACTCCAGATGACTGAGGAGCAGAAAGCTGTGACCCGGGCCCAGCCAGGCCTCCACCCTACCCCTTACCTTGTCAATGGAGCTGCTAGTTGGTGCAGTGGCCAGACTGTCCCACAGGTACCCACTGGCCTTCTCACAGATGGCCAGGCTGGCTGGACCAGGCTCTATTTTCCCACGGCCCAGCAGAGCTCGGGCAGCCTTGAAGGAGTGTAGGGCAGCCTTGGGCAGGGGTCTCCTGTTGGGTTCAGGGCAGAGAATGTAAGTCAGACCAGGCCACAGGCTCTTACTAGGCTCCATGCTCTGGTTCTGGATTCTCAAGGAAGAGTATGGTACCCCCTTCTGCCCAGAGCACAAGTTAGTGCAAGCACCCCAGGAGGGATGGCCTGAGGCTGGGGCAGAGGATCCAGCCATGCACCTACTCAGTCTCCTGCAGAGCTTGAGGCATGTGCTCCACCAGTGGGTATAGCCGCTCAGCTGCCTCTTCATCCCGCTGCAGCCAGTGGATTACCACAGCTGTCAGGGAGGCCCACCACTTGGCCACAGGGTCAGTACCTGCATTAGAGGGAGGCACACTCTGACTCTCAGGCGCGCTGCACCAGGGGCCTCACAGTGGCTGAGGGAGGAGTCTCAGGACTCACCGGTAGTGGCAACCACGCTGGAGCTGATGGAGAAGCTGCACGCAGGAGCTCCGGCAGCATCCGAGCAGCTGTTCAGCAGCTGCAGGTACCCAAGGGCATCTGAGAATTCCCTGGGGCAGGAGAGGACTGGCTGTGAGGACAGATGGCAGGGGAAGGGGGCCTGGGTGATGCTAGTCCTCCCCATCTGACCCCATGACTCTGAAAAGGGCCACCATCACCTGCTGCCTGGGTGGCAGAGAAAGAGACCCAGTGAGGTCCCGAGGAGGTACAGCAAGTAGACAATAGTCTAGACTCTGGCCTTGGATGTGAGTGTTCCTAGATTTTACATTGGAGGGTCTTGCTAGGAGAGAGGTACTCACCTGTCCCCATCAGCTGACCCGGGGCTGGGACTGGAGCTAGGGCTGGGCTGGGCCACACAGTTCAGCGCTCGCTCCAGGAGATGCTCACGGAATAACTGAGTCACCCGGGCCAGAGGGTCCACTGCAGGCAGGGATCATAGGTTGAGCGGAGGCACCACCCATCCTGTCACAGTCACCTTTCTGTACCAGGCCAGCTTGTGGCAAGGAGCAGCCCTGCCACTATTCAGTAGAAAATGGTGGCAAAACCCCAGCCCCTTGGGGAGGACATCACCAAAATAGTCAATATGCCTTTTTTGTTGTTGGTGGTGGTCGTGGGGCTTAAACTCTGGGCCTGGGTGTTGTCCCTCAGCTCTTCCCTCAGCTCAAAGTAAGTGCTCTACCACTTGAGCCACAGCATTACTTCCAGTTTTCTGGTGGTTAATTGGAGATAAAGAGTCTCATGGACTTTTCTGCCCAGGCTGGCTTTGAACCCTGATCCTCAGATCTCAGCCTCCTGAGTAGCTAGGATTACAGGTGTGAGCCACCGGCGGCCGGCGCAGTGTGCTCTTACACAGGCTCCAAAGGCAACCTGACTAAGCTTACACCTGCGAGGGCCCCACCCCTACCCTCCCCACAGTGCAGAGCCGCTCACTGCCTGCGCTCTAGATGGCACCTCCAAAGAACCTCACAGGATGCCTGCTCCCACAAGCCCCCCCTACACCCCAGTGGAGCAGACCTAGGGTGTCAGAGGGGGAGATGAAAAGGACAATGAGGTAGAGAAGAGACTGGCTGGGAGACAGGGACAGAGAAAGGGGACAGAGAGAGCACCTGGGTTCCCGGCCAAGCTGTAGAGACTCTCCCGAGGGGCACTGCGCACGGCCCAGTCCCCATCCACGAAGAAACGGTGGCCCACAGGGTGGCAGAGCCACTGCATGGCAAGAGGCATGGAACCACTCTGCGCTAGGCAGGCCTGGCGGGCGCTACTCAGGAAGAAGCGCTGTGGGGGAGGGGAGCTGGGCTGTCACACTGCACTCCAGGCAGGGGCTCAAACCCAGACCCAGGCTGAGACCCTCGTTGGGCCTGGAGGCTACCTGGTAACCAGCTGCTCCGTCCTGTTTAGCCCCTCCCCCAGAGTCACCTGGAGAAATACAAAGACAAGCCCCCGTCCCCATCTCCCACTCACAGTCAGGAAGTGCAAGGCCCTCGGGAGACTGGTCTTGACCCTCAGGGCTGCCGCCACATAGATTTCTGCCAGCGTCGCCATAGACACAGCATTGCCCGCACACTCGGCTAGGTTCAGGGCACTCAATGCTAGGTTGGTAGCAGTGAGGTGCCCACCACTGTACTTCCCTGGAAAGCAGATGGAACATGAAGCCAGGAGGTGGCTGGAATTGGCAGGAAGGGAGCCTCTAGGCCCAGCTCTTGTCCCGTCCTACCCATGGCATGCAGCTGGTGCAGCTTATGGTAGACAAGGGCCGCGTCTCGGGCACTGGCGCGCACGTCCGCCCTCAGGGTGCAGTCCCTCCGCAGGCCTCCGGCCTGGCCTGCCAGCCATCGGCCCACCCAGAGGCGCTGCAGCAGGTGGCGGATGAGGTTCCAGAGCAGGCTGCAGGCCAGGTCCAGGTGGGAGGTGGGCAGTGGCCGGCCCAGTGCTCGCAGGGCCAGCCACAGCTGCTGGGCAGCCTGGGCAAAGTCCCCCTAGGAATGGGATTTCCCAGTAAGAAGAGCAGCAATGGGGCATCTCCCCTCCATCTGGGACCCCTGGAATCAGAGTGGTCTATGGGAGGACCAAAAGATAGCACGGGACAGACCTGGAATATGGGCAGAAAGCTGAGAGCAGGGACATGCCTTGCACCTCCCCAGCCTAGGAACTGGACACTGCCCCAGGCTCCCATGCCTATTCTCCCAGGCTCAGGCCCTTACCCGGGCCAGATCCAGGTCAGCTTGTTTTCGGTGTCTCCAGAAGTGCACAGCAGGGCCCGAGTGGGGTCGTGTCACTGGTTCCCCATAGATGAAGAGAAGTGCCAAGGAGACCAGCACCAGTAGCCCATTGGCCAGCCAGACCAGAGGGGGCAGCAGCCACGACACCCAATCAGTGCCATCTGTGAACCAAGAGAAAGGCTGAAGGCACAGCTCCCAGAGCTCTTTGCTCAACCAAGACCCTCCCTGGGATGCCCAGGCTGGCCTAACCCACCTCTGCCTTCAACCTCCAGCATGCTACGCCCAGGACCATGGTGGACACTGGTGGTATCGGAGAGGCTGCCCAGCAGGGAGGCCAGGGGGTTACAAGACAGACAGAGGAAGACCAGCATACACAGAACCAGGCGGGAACGATCCAGCATACCCCGACTGTGAGGGGATGACAGCTGCTCAGGTTTCACCTGGTGGGGGGCAGAGGGCAGGGATAGATGGACAAGGCCTGAGGGCTGAGTTTCTCTAGAAAATGGAAGAGTGGTTCCCTCAGTGAGTCCCCTGGGATTCAGGGGACATGCCTGGGACAGGAAAAGAGGTAACACCACAGGGCCCAACCTGGCTATCCTCGAAGACTGGGCTGTCGGGCTCTGAGTCACTGCCACTGCCACTGCTGCCGCTGCCACGGGACAAAGGACTACTCTGGGAGGGTGAGCCAGCATCTGAGGGTGGGGGGGTCAGTGTGTCCATCACCTCAGACTTCATGCCATCCATGGGCACATCCGTGCTTCCTCCATTGCCACAAGTGGACACCAGATCCTTCAGCGACTCTGCAGGCAAAGGAGAAGGTGGGGGTGAAGGTCTAACACCCTGGGCTTAGCACCTGAGCCCGGAGATAGCCTTGCCTCTGAGGCCCAGGAAGCTAGATCAGAGTCTGTTGTGGCTAAGTTGAGACCAGAACTGATCTAGGAGTCAGAGCAAAGAATGAACCAGAGCCAGAGCCTGGCCAAAGCTAGGCGTGGCAGTAACGGGAAGGGGGAGGGGGGGAGGCCAGAGGAAGGGGAAGAGCAAAGCCTGTAGTACTCACTGCTTTTGTGGGCAGCAGTTCGAAGACTCAGGTTCTCCTGCTTTAGCTTCTGGTTGCTGTGTTGTAAGAAGCGGATGTAGTCTATGGCTTTGCGCAAGACAGCAGATTTATTCAGCTGCAGGAAGAGGGAAAGAGGGCAGGTGGCTAGTGAGACTCAGTAGCCCAGCTGTGAGCACTTAGTACAGTACAAAGAGCTGCTTTGCAACTCAGCTTCCTCAGGACCTTTACACTTGCGGTTCCTCCTACCTGAAATACATTCCTCTATTGATGTCCCCTAACTAGACCAGCCTCTCAGAGCAGAAAGGATTAGTGTGTAAGATGCTTCCCTACCTGAGTGTCCAGCTACCATCTTCAAGTCTCACCATAGCAAGGCCTTTCCTGATCACCTGACAGATCTGCAGCCCCTCCCATCCCCTATTTTCAGTTTTCCTCCTCAGCACCATGTGGTCTTTTGAATACTCATTTCTTTATCCTGGTGGATACCCAACTTCCCTGCTAGAATGTCAGGTCTTCTGGGATGGTACTTTCGGTGTTTCATCATCACTGACCCCTGTGCTTGCACCTTCATCCAAAAGGCTAGCCAAATAGTCAAGCACCAGTGGCTCATGCCTATTACCCTACTTGGGTGGCAAAAATTGAGGGGACCAGCCTGGACAGGAAAGCTTGTGAAACCCCTTGTGGATGAAGAGCTAGCCAAGGTAGCCCAAGCCCGTTATCCTAGCTACATGGAGGTCTAACATAGGCAGACTGCACCTGGAGAGGTGCAGTCTCTCTTTCCCTGGGCGGGAAAGAGAGACCCTGTCTCAAAAATCCAGGCTACACATGCCCTGCTAAGTAAGGGCAAAGACTGGTATTTAAACCCCTGAAAAAACAAAAAAGTTTAATAAATAAATAGGGCTGCCTGGGCCCAGGTAAGCTATCGCTTAACTCCTGTGTGACCAGACCAATCCTGCTTCCTTCAGACTGCCACACTCCACCCTGTTGCTTCCCAGCCACTACGGTCTGTGTGCATCCCTGCAAGCCTCTCTCCATACCTTCGCCTCAGTGCCCACCACCAGGTCCTTGAGCTCTACGATCTTGTCGTTAATGGAGGAGCGGTAGCGCTTCTCAATGGCATTGTGGGCTGTGCGCTTCTCGCCACGACTCTGGGCTGAGCCTGGGGACTTGCCAGCTGCCAGCCGGTTGATGGGCAGCTTGTCAGCATCCACGACCAGCGGCACTGTAGCCAGGATGGTTCCACCACTCACCAGGGTCTGCAGGGCCAGGCGCAGGTCACCAGGTGGGCATTCTCATGTGCAGCCCCACAACCTCTGCCCATCCGTGTCACCCACCTGTAAGGATCCTGCCTGCACAGTGGCACCAGGGGCCAGAGCACTGATGCCCGCCGTCTTCACAGTGGCCCCTACATCTGTCTTCATGGTTGTGAGCAGCAGCGAGTCTGCTTTGATGAAGTGGGGCTGCAGCAGGACCTAGAGGGAAAGGGCTTGATGGTGAGCTATGTCCAAGTCAAAGCCTGCTACCTCCCAGGAGCCTGGCGAGGGTCCGCGCCCCCTCACCCCCCACCGCTGCCTCATACCGGAACCTGCTGGATCTGTGAGGTCACTGTGGTTGTTCCAGAAGCTGCTGTGGCTGTCAATAGCTGTGGGGGAGCCGCACCCTGGACCTGAGTGTTCAAGGAGACAGGCTGGCCTCCGGGTGCAGAAGCCAGTGGCAGGCCAGGTAGCGGCTGCTGGGCACTGGCTGGAAGGGTCCCTGCAGAGACAAAGAAGGGCTGTGGGCCAGATGCCCTCACCTGCTTCTAGCCTGCCCTGCAGGATTGGATGAGTTATTATCCCTGGGGATGCCCTGATGCAAACATGCCAGCTTCCAGCAGGGCACAGGAAAGAGGGGATGGTGGCACATGCTTCTCCCAGTACTAAGGGCAGGAATACAACTGCAGCACTGCCAGCCATGGGTATCTCCAGCCCCAGCATGAACACCCAACTCCTAAAGCAGCCAATTCTGTCACTATGACTATGGTGGATACTTTCTACCCCCAGCAGCCTGGTCCCCACCATGCCCTCCCACTCCCCACTCTTCCCTCTGGTCACACACTCTCCTTACCTGTGGAGAAGCTGCCAGGTGGGCTAGAGTAGCCCAACACAGGGGCAGAGTTGAACTGAGAGGGGGAAGGGGCTGGGGCTGGGGCTGGAGCTGGGAAGCTCTGGGGCAGGAGGGTCCCTGGAAGGGGCTGTGGGGTAGGAGAAGGCTGCAAGATGGTTAATGACACTGGCTCTTCTTTGATACCAGGCCCAGGGGAGAAGGGGGGTACCGATGGGTACATCTTCAATGGGGTAGGTGAAGACTGGGGAGGGGACAAGGGTGGAGATGTCGACTTAGGTGCCCCCAGCAAGGCTTCCAGAGGGGAGCTCAGAGCGGCAGGAGGTGGAGACAAGGTGCCTGGGGAGCTGGGGCCAGGGCTGCTGGGATCTGGGCCCCCGGCCCCGCCCCCTGCATAGGGTGGGTCAAACAGGCCGGGAAAGTCACTGTCTTGATTGTTGAGGAGTTGAAGCATGTCTGCAGAAAGAAGAGGACAGTGTGTGTGAGTGACAGTAGAGCAGGAGGAGGGCCTGTTTGCATGCTCCCTGACCGCACACAGCTGTGTGCGAGTGGGGAGAGTCACGGGGACAGAGAGCCACCCTGAGGAGCTAATGCTCCTAGACACAGGCCCACGTCTGCCTGATGTGCAACATCCTCAGCCACAACACACAGAGGGCTTATTTTTGTTCGTTCATTCATTCACTCACTCACTCATTCATTTACGGCAAGGCATTGTTCTGACCATGAAGAACACAGACAAAAATCCCACCCACACCAGGAGTGGCAACACAAGCCTGTAGTCTATTTGAGATGCTGAATCCAGAAATTCAGACCAATCTAGAATGTCTTCTACCTTGGTAGAGATTTTTCTGATAGTACTACAGTTTGAACTCAGGGCCTCATGCTTGCTATATAAGCACTCTACCACTTGAGCCATGCTCTCAGTCCAATTGATGGGTTGTAGATTTTTTGTTTTGTCCCTATGACTGAGCTTGATCTCAAACTTCTGTCCTGTATCTTCATGCAGACAGTTGTAGTGATTTTTTTTTCCAGTGCTGGGCTTCAAACCCAATGTCTGTAGCATGCTAGTCAGGTACTCTACCACTGAGCTGCAACCTCAGCTGGTAGATAGTGGTTAATTTTTATTCTTGTAGCTGCAACCTCAGCTGGTAGATAGTGGTTAATTTTTATTCTTGTCTTCATGGATACATAGCTCTCAGCCCTTCACATAGCACATGAACACTGAACTGTATACTCCAATGAGCTCCAAGTCCTCACACAGGAAGTGACAAGGCCACCACTCAACTATAGCCCCTACCCAACCTAGACAGCGTTCAGATCCCAGGGCCAGGCTTGAAAGGCAGATGTGCCTCATACCCTGCAGGTCCAGGCCTTGGGAGGTGGACAGGGAGCAGCAGCCAATTTACAAGGCTAAGAGAGGTGCAGAAAAACACAGGATGGGCTTTAGTGGGGGGGGGGCAGATGAAGGAGGATGTGGTCATAATACTCAATGTACACATGAAAATGAAACTAGGAAAAGTTAGAGGATGAGTGGAGTTGAGAGAGATGAGAATGAATTGTAAAAAGGGTGGCATATATCAAGACACATTACACTCATAAACTGACAAGTTGATTGAAACTGTTTTTGTACAACTACTTGAAAAATAATAGGGAAGGAAGGAAGGAAGGAAGGAAGGAAGGAAGGAAGGGAAAGAGAAAGAGAAAGAGAAAGAGAAAGAGAAAGAGAAAGAGACATGGGCCAGGCACCAGGCACCAGTGGCTCACACCTGTAATCCTAGCTACTCAGGATAAAATCTGAGGATTGTGGTGTGAAGCCAGGCCAGGCAGGAAAGTCCAAGAGACTCTTATCTTCAATCAATCACCAAAAAGCCAGAACTGGGGGTGTAGCTCAAGTGGCAGAGCACTAGCCTTGAGGAAAAAAAGCACAGGGATCTTACCCAAGATCTGAGATTAAGTCCCAGAACTGATGCACACGTGCATGCATACACACACACACACACACACACACACACACACACACACACACACACGACAACAAATACATAGCTATGCGGGGAGGGAAGGAGACAGGATGGCTTGAGGCCCTGAAGAGGTGGTAGGGTCCTCCATGTCCAGACCTTGTTGGGGAGCCCAGGTCTTACTTTTGGCATGACTCAGGATCCTCAGAGAGGAACAGTGGACAGAGTGGACCTTCAAGAGGAGACCAGGTCAGAACAAGATCCTCACCCATGATTGGAAGACTAAAAGGGTGGGCCTGTGCCAGGGAGGTGGGTCTGGGCCAAGATCCAGGCCCACTTTGGGGTCACTCATATAGGAGCCAGTCAGGCTGGGCCCCAAATCTTTATAACACACAGCTCTAAAAAGGTACTGTATAGCTGGGCGCCAGTGGCTCATGGCTGTAATCCTAGCTACTTGGAAGGCCGAGATCAAGAAGATTGCAGTTCCAGGCCAGCAAGGAAAGAAAGTTCATGAGATCCCTTCTCAAAGAAGAGCCAGACTCGGTACATGTCTATTTTCCTAGCTAGCTGAGGAAGCCTCAAATAACAGTATTGAGGCCCAGGTACATACTAGGGCAAAAGCTAGACCCATCTCAAGAATAACCAGACCAAAGCTGGGCACCAGTGGCTCATTCCTGTAATCCTAGCTACTCAGAGGTTCAGAAATAAGGATCTCAGTTCATTGGGGCTGGGAAGGTGGCTCAGTGGTAGAGCGCTTGCCTTGCTTGCCTGAGGCCCTGGGTTTGACTCCTCAGCACCACATAAGCATAAAAAAAAAAAGCTGGAAGTGGCACTGTGGCTCAAGTGGTAGAACGCTAGCCTTGAGCTGAAGAGCTGAAAGACAGCACCCAGGCCAAGAGTTCAGGCCCATGACCAAACCCTCCTCCCCCCCAAAAAAAGGATCTCAGTTCAAAGCCAGCCAGGAAGGAAAGTCCATGAGACTTATTTCCAATAAACTCGCAAAAAGCCAAAAATAAAGCTGTGACTCATATGGTAGAGCACTAGAATTGAGCAAAAAAGCTAAGAGACAAGACCCTGAGTTCAAGCCTCAGAACTGGCATGTGCACACATGTACATGCACACACATGTATACACACATACACACAAAAACTTGTTATAAAAATAACCAGAGCAAAAATGGACTGGAGGCACAGATCATTGGTAGAATGCCTACCCAGCAAGTATAAGGCACTGAATTCAAGCACCAATACTGCCATTTAATAACAATTATTGTTATTGTTTAAAAAGGTACTATAGGGGCTGGGAAGGTGGCTCAGTGGTAGAGCGCTTGCCTTGCATGCATGAGGCCCTAGGTTCGATTCTTCAGCACCACATAAGCAAAAAGAAAAAAGTCGGAAGTGGCGCTGTGGCTCAAGTGGTAGAGCGCTAGCCTTGAGCTGAAGAGCTGAGGGACAGCGCCCAGGCCCAGAATTCAAGCCCCACGACCGGACCCAAAAAAAAAAAAGGTACTATATAGAACATATGCACCAGTTTACAGATGAAGAAATACCAGAATCAGGGACAGAACCATGTCCAGACCTACCTGATCCCAGTACCCTAAGTACAACTCACTACTGCTACATAGAGGGTTCATTTGTTCACCTGTCTCAGAGGCTGAAAGGGTCCCCAAGTTCAAGGACAGCCACACAAAGCCCAAGAGCATGCAGTGGGATTCAGACCCAGGTGTACAAGAAACCTAATCTGTTGCCTCTACTCCGTTCCTTGACTCACTAAGAAGCCAAGAACCATGTTGCCACCACCAACCCATTCCTCTGCAGAATAGCCAGAGGCTTGGGGCTGGGCCAGCTGCTGGTCACATAGCAAACCAGCGTGACACTGAGCATTCTGGGAACAAACCTAAGCCTTCCCAGCAGCTAAGTGGCCTCATCACCCAGATTCAGCCTTTCAGGCTTTGGTTTTCCCTCTATAAAATCAAGTGTTAGGCTGGGAAGGTGGCTCAGTGGTAGAGCGCTTGCCTTGCATGCCTGAGGCCCTGGGTTCGATTCCTCAGCACCACATAAGCAAAAAGAAAAAAGCCAGAAGTGGCGCTGTGGCTCAAGTGGTAGAGAGCGCTAGCCTTGAGCTGAAGAGCTGAGGGACAGCGCCCAGGCCCAGAGTTCAGGCCCCACGACCGGATCCCCCCTCCCACCCCCCAAAAAAATCAAGTGTTAGCGGGGCACCAGAGGCTCATGCCTGTTATCCTAGCTACTCAAGACTATCCTAGCTACTGAAGACTGTGGTTAAAAGCCAGTCTGGGCAGAGAAGTTCATGAAACTCTTATCTACAACTAATCACCAAAAAGCCGGAAGTGGAGGTGTGGCTCAAGTATAGAATGCTAGCCTTGAACAAAATAGCTAAAGGACAATGCCTAGGCCCTGTGTTTAAGCTCCAGTACAGGCACACGCATAGACACATAGACACACACACTCTCACACACACAGAGCAAGTGCTGTATGTCCTGATTTGTTCCTTCTTTCACAGATTGAAATACACTCTCTCCTGCCTCAGCCCTAGCCTGGCCACAGGCCCTCTCCCCCAGCTGGCGACTAGTAGCTTGGCTGGCTCAGCCTCTGGCCCTCTAACCCACTCATAGAGGCCACCTACTGGGTCAAAGGGCTCTACAAGATACATGAAAACAATCCCGAGCAGACCCTAGGACCCCCAAGCACCTGGGCCTGAGAGTCAGGGCTAATGTTCCTCTCACTGGGCCTCAGTTTTCTCAGTAAATCCTTTTTGGCAGTGCTGCCAGAGGCTTTGCTCAGCGGAGTGGGGTCTCAACATTGCCCACTGACAGATGTCCAGGCAGGAAAGTAACTGCAGGAGGGGCTTCCCTAAGGCCAGGAACAAGCAAGATAAGGTGGCAGGCTTGACCTCCTCAATACTGAAAAAGAAATACTTTGTGGATTCTCCAGGTTTATGCCATAAGATCGTACAGCACTTTTCTTTTCTTTTTTTTTTGTTGTTGGTCATGGGGCTTGAACTCTGGGCCTGGGCACTGTCCATAAGCTCTTCAGCTCAAGGCAAGTACTCTACCACTTAGAGTCACAGCACTACTTTGGTTTTCTGGTGGTTAATTGGAGATAGAGTCTCACAGATTTTCCTTCCCGGACTGGCTTTGAACAAGGATCCTCAGATCTCAGCCTCCTGAGTAGCTAGGATTACAGGTATGAGCCATCAGTGCTTGGCTAGCACTTTTCTTTATAGCATCTCCCACCTCTCACCCCTTTCCCTCTTGAGCCCCCTTATGGGGGAAACTGAACCAAGACAACCTAGACAGTCCAGGGTTCCCATCTGCCTGGAGTCCAAGATGCCTACAAAAAGTAGACAGGAGGGCTGAGTGGTAGAGTGCATGCCTAGTATGCATGAAGCCCTGGGTTTGATTTCTTAGTACCATATAAACAGAAAAGGCTGGAAGTGGTGGTGTGGCTAAAATGGTAGAGTGCTAGCCTTGAGCAAAAGAAGCTCAGAGACAATGCGTAGACAGGACAACTGGCCCTCCACCCTTGATTCCTCAGGACCATGCTCAGAAGCATAAGATTTGGGGAAAGCCACTAACCCTTTCCCTCTCCCCTTAAATTCAGGGTGCTGCTCTATCTAAGCAAAGCCTTCTTTTGGGTTGCAGGGGAAATTAATGAGGTTAGGGACGGTCCATCCACTTCCCCAGCGAGCTGGACACTTGCTGGCACTTTGTCAGAAAGGGGTCTCCTCACCCTGCTGTGTGAAAACACAAGACTTAAGGATCCACAGCAGAGGTGGAATCAGTATAATCAAAGAGGGAACCCCTCCAAAATTACCTTCGAATGTGCAATCCATGGTTCCGTGGTCTGCGCCCTCCGCCCCCTCGGGGCGTCTAGGCTGCTGGCCCTGACCGTGTCCCCGGGACAACTTCACCTGTCAAGGCTCGGTGGAGTTTTAAAGCCCACAGAGCGCGTCTCTGCGTACGCCCCGCCCCTTTCAGACCACGCCCCCATAAACAGGCCCCTCCCACCACCTCCTTCCTCCCCGGGCTGCGGGCCGGGCATGGGGTGAGCGCGAGCAGCCAATCAGCGGCCGCGCCGCTGCCTCACTAGGATCCCGCCCCACCCCCGACGGCGGCTGGGCTCCGGTTTCACCTCGCGGCGTTGAATGGGGCTGAGGTTACTCTCGGACGACCGCCATTAACCCGCTCAGTGCCAGCGTCCCCCGGGGTTACTGGCGGTCATTGCCTTATCTCCAGCTCCTGCCCGGCTCCGGCTCCGTTATCACTTCAGAAGTTCTCGAAATCCAGAGTTAGGGTAGAGAGGACAGGGGCTGTGATGCTCAGAGCCTTGCTAGTCTAGCCAACAAGCTGAGCAATCCTGGAGCAATCTAGGCCTCAGTTTACTCACGCAGGAAACAATTTTATCTATTGGCATCGCAGGGTAGAATCAACAGAGATAATCTAGGTGCAGCATTTAGTACAGACTTTTGATCAAGGCTACCAAAGTCTGCTATTTGGCAGTGGGATGAGGTTTAAGGACCACCAGTTCCCGGAGTAGTCCCAAGACAGGAGTAACCCCCATCCTAAAGAAGAGGCTGATTATCCAGGAACAGCTCACTCCTTAAACTGGCCTAGAGAGATCAAGAAAAAGCCCTACTCCAAATTATATATTCAGGGTCTGGATGATGCCTGCTCCACCTCCGGGTCTCACAGCCCCCTCAGCAGTGAGGGTCCAGATTGGAGAACCAGTCAGAGTCCAGGGTGGAGGGCCTAGTCCCTGGGACAAAGGTGAGAAAGGTAAGGGTAACAGGTTTAGGGAGATGCTAAGTCTATCTCCCTGGCTAACCAAGGTAGTCAAAGTGCCTCAACACACAAAAAATCAGAGCCCCAGTAGCAGCTCAGGCCAAGTAGCCAAGTAGACCAGAAAGGTCAGAAAGGACTGGCATCTGGGGTCTTCATGCTGTTGTTGCCTGGGAGGGACCCAGTCAGGCACGCCAGCCTGGTGGTCTCAGCAGCAGGTGCTAGGGTCTCTGATCTCTCTCCTTTTTTCCAGAGACTAAGTTGGAAAACTCACAACATAAGTCTTTAACTGCCACCTCCCTTTCTATTCATCCTGCATTGGGTGCTCAAATACTCCATCAAAGCAAGGCTCTGGGAAAAAGTTCGGACCTCACTCAACCAACTTAAGACAGGGAAAATTCTGGATTCAAAAGACATAGAGGGCTGGAGTCCAGGCACAGATCTGTCAAAAGCTGACTCTCCCAGCTTGGCCCTTTGTTACTTAGTTATCGAATCTGCGCCCAAGTATGGTGGTCAACAGACAGATGTTCCTCTGAAACTTGCAGGACCAGGGCCCCCAGGGCTTTTTTGCCCTTTTATTTCTCTCATCTGTACTGAGGAGATGGGAGGGAGAGGACAGTTGCTCACTGACACCTCTGTTCAAGGGTGCTGGGTCTTAGGAGACTTCTGAGAGAAGCCAGGCATGGAAAGCTGGCCTGCAGACAGAGAGCCCAGGCAATGCTAAGCTACAGGATAAGGGGAGGGCTTGGAGGCTTCAAGACACCTAGTGGTTAATGTAGGTGCTGCCTAACCCCTGAATGTACCCTCACTGCACTCTCCTCTAGAGCTGCATCTGCTGTCCTATTTCTGCAGATGTGAGTGCCAGGGTAAAGACTTGAGGGGAAACTCCAGAGCCAGCTCTACAGCTAAGCCGAGGGATGCAGCCATGGCCTCCATTTACTGTGGGTCTGGGAGCAGGTCACTCCCCTTCTCCCAGCTTCTAGGCTCCATCTGGGAGAACAAGTTTCTATAGCACCAACCACCCAACAGGTTTCAACAAGGGTTGCAACCAAGATGGTCTACAATTGGAAAGTTAGGTAGCGAGCTGTCTGATACCTGTTGTACTCAAATAGAGGTAAAAGTACTGACAGTACTGAACTGAAGTGGACTGAGGTGAGCGAAGAAGGGCACAGAAGGCAAGCAACTCTGCATGACTTCACACTATGGACTTGCAGAGCCCAGCTCTGAGCATCACAGAAGCCTACAAACCTGTCCAACTCATACAAGGACAACCAAACTCAGTTTGCCTCCTAGGAGAGTGAGCTCACTATCTGTCACACAGCATGCTCCGTGAAGTCTGCAATACGTTCCCTTGCAGTATCTGCAGCCCTTTCTGGGTGTCAACAGGATGTAGAAGAGAAAGGCACGGTGATGATCACCCATAAAGCAGGACAAGCTAAAGAGAGGTGAGGTGCCAATGTAAATGAGGTGGTCAGTGTGGGCTATAGACCTAGAGTGAGATAGGGCCAAAAGGGAAGAGGAACACATTAAACAGAAGAAACAGCAAGTGCAAAGATCCTGAGATGGGTGCAAGCCTAGGGCAATGGTAAGACAGGAGGAGGCCACATTGGCTACAGCAAGAGAGAAGGGATTGTCAGGCACCCAAAGAGATGGGATTCCAATGCAGGTTTGTTTGAGCCAAAGAAACTGTTATAAACTATTCTGAGCAAAGGCAGGCCGCGGAGGTTGCACAAAATGTGATGAAGAATGAACAGTGTGAGAGGTAGTGTGGCATCACCTCCCCAGGGAGGCCATGGAGCTCCTCCTGGGGGAGAGGTTGCAGGATGGTGAGTGGGGAATGGTGTTCATCTACCCTTCAGGGTTTGAAGCCGCTGCTGATTACAGCTCACACCCAGCCCCCAGCCCCCAGCCCCTGCTGGATCCTCCTGAGAACTCAGCCAGTCATGTGTGTCACAGAGGCACAGGCTGCCCTTTGTGTGCTCACGGCTGTCTGCCCCGGGGGAAGTGAGTGAGTTTGGCTCTTCCAGGTAGGGGATGGGCCAGTGGCTAGGTTCCTTTGGTGCACCCTTTCTATGGCTGAGGAAACCAAGATCCAGAGCCACAGCTGCGAAGTGGACCTCTGGAGACTCAAACCCAGCTCTGCAGGTGGTACTCCAGCCTGCCTTGGGCACTGTCACAGCTCAGTGTGTGCAGAGTGCTAGCATAGACAACATGGTGCTTGGTGGCTCAGCTCCAGGGGTACCTCCTCCTCCCAGCCTTCATCGCCAGTCTCCTCCCTGACCAGGCCTTTGGTGGGTGAGGGAGCCCTCAAGGCAGGACCTAAGCCTGACTCAGTCAGAGACCAGCCTCACCCACACAAAGCTGACCATGGTGGGTGTGAGGACAGCAGCCACTACCAACATGAGCTGTGGGTCCTGTTGTCTAAACCAATACAGCTCCCACACAGCCTCCCTGTTGATATGCTTGCTTGCTTTCTTCCTTTCTTCCTTCCTTCCTTTTTTTGCCACACGTGGGGCCTGAACTCTGGCCCTGGGTGCTGTCCCTAAGCTCTTCAGCTTAAGGCAAGCACGCTACCACTTGAGCCACAGCGCCACTTCCGGCTTTTTCTGCTTATGTGGTGCTGAAGAATTGAACCCAGGGTCTCATGCATGCAAGGCGAGCACTCTACCACTGAGCCACTCTACCACCCAGCCCCTGGTATGCTTTCTGAAGGCATAATGCTACCTGATGGCATCAGAGTCTGCTCCTTCCCTGAGGAACATCCCTCCCACTGTGCTGTGGCCACCTCAAAAATTCTTATTCTTCCCCTCGAACTCTCTCTGTTGACACACACACACACACACTCTCTCTCACACACACACACTCTCTCTCTCACTCACACACACACACACACACACACACACACACACACACACACACACACACACACACACACACACGGCTCTTAAAATGGTATTATGGCTACCAGCTGGATTAAGTGGATTAAGTGGAGGGAATTGGGGGAGGGGACTGACACATACTGATCATTCTGAAGGGAAAGAACAACCCTGTAGCAGTGCAGTGGCAATTTGGGGGGTGGTCCCTTGCTGCTGGGTAACAGTTCCCTGGCTAAATAGCAGTTCTGTGCCTTTCTTCATATAAATTACATTTTTCTCTCTCTTGAATTGTTTTAATTCTGAAGTGAAAGCAGCGTGCTGTCTTAGTGCCAGCAGGCTGCTGTCTGGAGCAGATAAACCCTTTACAACCATGTCGCCCATTTCCTCCACATTGCCTGCACTGGCTTTTTATTGTTGCTGGTAGGGTAGTTGCTTTGTTTTCCTTTCTTCTTTCTTTCCTTCCTTCCTTTCTTTTCTTTTTCTTTTTTTTCTTGTGTGTGCTTGAACACAGGACTTTTTTGCTGAAGATTAGCATTCTTCCACTTGAGCCATACCTCTACATCCGGCTTTTTGGTGGTTTATTGGAGATAAGAGTCTCATCCTCAGATCTCAGCCACTTAAGTACCTTGGATTACAGGCATGAGCCACCAGTGTCTGGCAGTATTGAGCTTTGAACTCAGGGCCTTAGGCGCTTGCTCAGCTTTTTTGCTTATGGCTGACACCTGTCAAGTGGTAGACTTAAGCAATGCCTCTAATCCAGGTTCTTTTTGCTAGTTAATAGAGATGGAGTCTTGCAGATTTATTTGCCCAGGCTGGCCTTAAAACCATAATCTTCCAGATTTCTGCCTCCTAAATAGCAAAGATTATACGTATAAGTCACTAGTGCCAGGCAGTTTTGGTTTTCTGAGACAGAGCCTTGCATACAGCCAGGCTTGTCTGGGACTCTCCATCCTCCTGCCTCTGCCTCTGCCTCTCCAGGGCTGGGCTCACACGTGTGCGCCAACATGTCTGAGGCACCTCTCACCTTAGTGGACAGGGTGCTTGTTCCTGGAGTGCGATAGGGGATTCCTCACATGCCTTGTCTATCATGCAGAAAGCCAGAACCGCCATGTGGTAGATGTTCAGAACTTAGAACTATAGCCCGGAACCTTCTGGAACTTCCTGTACAGGCTCCTTGGATAATGACTGTTGAACCAAATACATTCGATGCAGGTGCTGGCTGAAAGCTCCAAATGGTGATGTAATGGGATTGGCTGGAGGCCTACCAGGTGTCACTTGCTGCTTAGCCAGTGACCTCAATTAGCTCTGCTGGTCCGCATCGCTCTAAGGAATTGGCTCAAATACATTGGTTCTTGTTATTTGGTAAGAACCTAGAGGTCAAGAGGTTAACCACTTGTCCAAGGCCACATAGCAAGGCTGGATAAAAAGACTGTGGAAGCTGGGAATGTGGCTTAGTGGTGGTAGAATGCTTGCCTAGCATGCAGAAAGCCCTGGGTTCAATTCCTCAGTACCACATAAACAGAAAAAAGACAGAAATGGTGCTGTAGCTAAAGTGGTAGAGCACTAGCCTTGAGCACAGAGAGGCTCAGGGACAGTGCCCAGGCCCTGAGTTCAAGCTTCAGGACTGCCCCCTACCCCCCCCCCAAAAAAAAAGACTGCTGGAGGCAGGGGGCAGCCTTCCAGCTTCAGAGAACACAAGCCCTGGAGCCTTGGTGTGGGTAACCTAGAGATACAAGATTTGCTGAGAGATAGCTTGGACAAGGTTGACATTTGTGCAGGAATAGTCAAGGTGGGCCTGTCCAGCTTCACCTCAACTCTCACAAGCCCCAACTCCAGCAGGCTCTTCATCTGGAGCCAGGTCTAAGCCTCCCTTCCACCCTGTCTGGCCAGGAGTCCCATACCCATTTAGGAGTCCCAGTGACCACCTCATGGAATGGTGGGTAGTAGGTCTCACAGTTTGTGAAGGGTCAAAGGGCACATTCAGGCTGGGGGCGTGCAGCATGGTGGGGGAGCACTCTCTTAGCATGTAAAAGTCCCTGAGGATGAATGACAGAAGAATCTAGTGCAGCGATTCAACCTAGGACACACTTATCATCAGACAAAGTCCTAATCTCAGATGTCAGGCTGGCAGTGCTGTGTTGGAACTCGTGGGGTCACACAAGGTACTGTCCAGCTAAGTGACTATGGGGCAGTAACTAACAGGGAATAACAAGCTCCCCGTCACTGGCCTCCCTGGATTCACTCCCAGAACCACCTCCTCCCCCAACCCTGTTACCTTGATGCTTTTCAGCAGAGGCTCCTCCCCACCCCTACTCCCATCCTCCCTGAAGTTAAAGGCACTTTTCCTAGAAGCCTCAGCACTTCAAGAAAAACAAAAACAAAAACTGGGAAGTCTTCCTGCTGCCTGAAGTCAGGTGGGCTAAATACTATGCAGGGAAGGAGAGAGACTGACTCCTTGTAGGCTCAACTCCTAAGGGTTCTAGACATGAGGCTCAAGCCAGAAGAGCACCTAAGCAGGGTAGACAGTTCCTGAGAGGTGGTTCTGGATGGATGGCAGTGTCACAGGGGGGACTAGCTGGGTGAACTTTGCAGGTGTTGAATGCCATGCTGAGACAAGGTTATTTTCTTTGGGAGGGGGAACTGGAGAGCCATGCATTATCAGGGACCTGGGAGTTACATGTTGGGAGCTAAGCAGTAGCCAGTCTAGACATGTTTTCTAAGCAGGGCCTGTGTTCGGTGGGACTGGAGAGAACTGTGAGGTGGCAGAGCAGATCCCAGAACACAGACATACACACGCAGTCTGGGAGCAGACCCAGGGCAGGGCTGGCCATATAGGAATGGGGCATGTAGGCATCAGGATGGGGTGAACTGGGTTCAGTGTGGCTGGGCATGGAGAAGGTGAGGCAAAACCCAGGAGGGCTTCCAGGTAGCCACACAGAACCAGAGCTCAACAGATATCTGACAGGCAGACAGACAGGCAGAGCAGTCATAGCAACCTGGACATTTCAGGCTCCTTAGAGCCCCCAGTGTGACCCCTTGGCTAGGCCAACCCATGGAAGACACTTCCTGCCCCACAGTAAGAATTCTGTGCCAGGGCCTCTTCTGCACTTAGGAACTTGTACAAGATCTGATAGATTAATCCTCTGTAGGAAGATGAAGTCTACAGCAGCTTAAGAGTAATTCCCAGCACATGAGAAGGGCTGTCCCCAAGTTCTATCTTGACAACCCCCCAGACAAAGAAGGAAGGAAGCCAGAGGTCAAGATCATCACCAGGACTTGAGCCCAGGAAGCACTTGTCTAGCAGTGGGCCACCATAAGAACGGGAGGTGGCAGCCCCACCCCCCCAGTCCATTCATGTGACAGAGGGTTTGGCCAAGGCAGGCAGCTGGCGGGGCTCAAGGCCCTGGCTGGCTCCCGGTACCAGTTTCCAGTCTCATGACAGGGCTGGGAGGGGCAGGCAGCCACACAGATGACCCTTCTCTGACCCACCCACAGACCTCCAACATAGTCCCACAGAGGGCTGCTTCCTTCAACCTATTACCCCCAGTCTCAGGAGCCCATGGTTAAAGAGCTCATGAACAAAGAGCATAAGCTCTAGAGCCCACAGCCATGTTATAGCTGTGTGCCACAAATCACTCACCTTCTCTGTTCATCAAGACTTATGAAGATCATAAATATGCCCAATTCAAGTTACTGGGAAAATTCACTGAAATCGTCATATACAGTACCTGGTATACAACTAAGTGCACTGAAGGGGTTCTCTATATATGTGAGAATCCTGCACCCAGTCACTAGACAGAACTTCTAACACACAGCTCAACATGGTGCTCTCCTCCTCTCCCTGGCACTGGAGCCCTGCCTAGATGCCTCTCAGGGCTTTCAGAGAAGCTAGCCAGGTTCTATCTAAACCCACCCAGCAGTTCTCTTCCTGTTCTGAGCCTGGTCCTACCAAACTCAATGAAGACCTGGGCACAGAGGAAACCTGGGGGATCCACTGCTGCCTGGTCTAAGAGACCAACACATGGGGCTGGGAAGGTGACTCAGTGGTAGAGTGCTTGCTTGCCTTGCCTGTATGAGGCCGTGGGTTTGATTCCTCAGCACCACATAAACAGAAAAGGCCGGAAGTGGCACTGTGGCTCAAGTGGTAGAGTGCTAGCCTTGAGCTGAAAAGTTCAGGGACAGTGCCCAGGCCTAGAGTTCAGGCCCATATCCAACAAAAAATAAAAGAGAGAGACCAGCACAACCTGTTATCCATCAACAGAGGATCAGGAGCATAAATGAGGGAAGAACTTGATTGTTGACTGACTATAGACATGGACACACAGATTGCAATCTGCTGAGAACTAATGGATCCTGTTCTAATCTATAAATAACACAAGGGATATGGTGGACAGGCCTGTAATCCAAAAACTCCTAAGGATGAAACAAGAGGATCCTGAGTTTGAAGCCATTCCTGAACAAAATGAGTTCAAGGCAGAGTTGAGCAACTTGGCCAGCCCATTTAAAATAAAACTTTAATGAAAAAGGGATGATGCAACTCAATGGTAATGTATTTGCCTGACATGCTTAAGGTCTGGGTTCAAGCCCCAGTAGAGCATATAGTAGAGCATATAGTTATGTGATTGGCTACAGGGGTGGGAGGAGAGTGGAGAGGAACTGTAAACAGGAATGAAGGCTCCTGGTGGAGTAAAGTGCTCTATCACTGGTGATGAACACACAACCTGATAAATTTACCAAAAAAGCATTGAATGGTGCCCCTAAGATGGTAAATCAAGTACTATTAAACTTTTTTTTTTCCAGTTCTGAGGATGGGATCCAGGGTCAAACATGCTACACAGTCCTTTACCACTGAGATATACTACCAGTATTTCCACCACCACCACCATCACCACCACCCCTCACCCCACCCCCACCTCCGGCCCAACACACAGACACACACACACCTTTTTTCCTTTTGGTATGAAAATATAGGCCAGGTGCTGCTGGCTCACACCTGTAATCCTAGCTACTCAGGAGACGGAGATCTGAGGATCGAGGTTCAAAACCTGCCCAGGCAAGAAAGTCCGTGAGACTCTTATCTCCAACAAATCACCAAAAACCCAAAAGTGGTGCTGTGGCTCAAGTGGTAGAGTGCTTGCCTTGAGGTGAAGAGCTCAGGGACAGTGCCCAGGCCCAGCGTTCAGGCACCACCACTACCAACACCAGGTATGGTAGCACATACAGGATACACCTGTAGTGCCAACTATTTGGGAGGCTGAGGCAGAAGGATCACTTAGCCCAGGAGTTCAGGGCCAGTTTAGGCTACACAGTGAGACTTTGGTTCCCCTTCAACACACACACACACACACACACACACACACACACACACACACACCCTTAGACACAGAAAATATAATCTCATATTATTATGAACTTATCTCTGGGTGATGGGTTTAATAAAGATTTTACTCTTTTTTTTGATCAAGTGCATTTTCAAGTTTTTCTGCAATGAACCAACAATATACAATTGGGGAAAAGACCAAAAAGTTTGAATAAAAAAATTTGAGAAACCCTCCTGTAGGATGAGTAAACCTGATCCAACACACTCTCCAGCAAGCTGGCTAGCTGATCCTCAGGGGTCCCTGGTTGCCTGCCCCCTCCCTCACCTACTGGAGCTCATTTCATCTGGTTCCTAGGTGCCTCCTACAACAAAGACTCCATCCTCCAGTGAATGAGAAAGGTCCACCTGAACAGAGGCTTGGCCATGCCCAAGATCATTTTCTGAAGGAGAAACAGTCTCAGTGGCTGAACTGGATTGTGTAAGATAGACAAAATGAGGAGTGCCAGATTAAAGTTCAGAATACAAGCCCACCTCTTCCTAGCTGGATTTCCATCCTCTTCTCATCCTAAACCACTGGCCAGGAATGTGGAGCTAGAGTCAGTGGGGGTAGGATATGGGTGGCTGGAATGTATCTCTGCTGAGACCAGAATGGCCACAGGCTCCAGGTTATGAGAGTCCAAGCAGTTTGGTGCTGTGTTCTCAGCCTTAGTTTCCCTATCAACCAGTGCAACTTAGCCAGTATTGCTAAAACTGAGCCACAATTGTGAAGGTGATTTTGTGGAGGGACTCTGCTTTGTCCCAACTAGAAAACAGAAGCAAATTACTTTATAGCAAATCCCGTCAGGGTATACCAGAGTAGGTTGTTGCTCAGGGATAAAGCACTTGCCTCGAATACTGGAGTGTCCATCCCTAGCCCTGTAATCAATCAATAAAAGCTCGGTTCCGGTTCCTCTTGCCCACAAGGCTGGGCAATGCCAGCCTTCCCAGCCTTGTCTCCTCTGCCTTCCACTAACTCCTCAAACTTAGGCTTTACCCCAGGACCTTTGTGAAAACATCTTTCCCCGATGGTTCCTGGGTTCATTCACAGATGTCAGTTCAAGTCCACCCAGAGCGACGCCCCCCCACACACACCCTTTCCCTGCCCCAAGCCACGGTGCAATTGAACATCCTCCTTGGAGATTTTTGTGTCCCCCAAGAACAGAGGGCCAGGTCTGCTTATGAGTCCTTACTGAGTTATGTTGGGGCCTGATATTCAGTAGATGCTCAATAAAGGTGTTCATTGGCGATGCCCATCCCGGGGAAGAGAGGGAAAGCTATAGCGTTGTGCGCACGCGCAAGAGCTCCTGAGCTGAGCTGAACTCTCCGGCCCGAGGGAATGACCGACAGTAACCCCCTGACGTCACGGAGGGGCGGGTCCGAGACGCCGCCCGGGTTTCAAGCCGCAGCCGCCGGCCGCCACGGGGCTGGGACACACCGGCTGCGCGGGACCGAGCCTGAAACGCCTAGAAGCGCACGTGTCCCGGCCCGGAAACGCCCAGGGACCTCGGCGAAGGTACAGACCGTGAGCCTAGGACGCCAGAGCCCAAGTGGGCACCGGGAGGTCCTCATCGCTCATCCCAGAGACTCCGGAGAGCCTGGCGCTTGCACAGCACGGCGCCGCCGCCCTCGCCACGACGCCCCACGCAGGTCACGAGACAAAGGCGGGTGCGGGTGCCGCCCGCACGCCCCCACTCGCCCAGAGCCCAACCGGCCCTGACGCACCTTCGATGTCGGTCAGCAGCGCCGCATCCAGCTCGCTGGGCTCGGCCAGCGCCTGCTCCAGCGTCGCCTCGCAGAAGGGCAGTTCGTCCATGGTGCCGGGCCCCTCAGCCGCGCCGGGCCTTCCCTGGAGCGCCGCGGTCCCGGCCCGCCGCTGCCGCTGCCGCCGCCTCCCAGAGCGCTCGCGTCCCGCCCGGCCTCCGAGGTGGCCTGGCGCCCTCGAAAAGTTCCTCGGAAACTGGATTCCCGCGGCAGCCGCTCGCGGGCGGGCGAGACGGGGCGGAGCCTGTCTGGAGACCCCGCCCCCCGGGGTAGACGATCCGCCCCACCTGAGAGAGCTGGGGACCCCTCCCCCCCACTCCAGCTCCCCCTCCCCGGACAGCACCGGGATCCTGCCCGGCGCAGACCTCCTTCCTGTCGTTAGTTTCACTCAGTCTCAGGACTGGCGGCCTGTGGCAGGCTGCTGCGCGTGCTTGGGCAGCACACGGCCCCTCTAGGTCTCAGTCCATTCCAGTCTCTGGACTGCAGGGGAAGTAAGTGCCGTCCAACCTCACTTCCTCGATTTTGCTCCTTAGAGTCAGCAGACCCCGGTCCAAGTTACAGCTCTCCCAAGCCTGCCGTGTGGCCAGTTACCTCAATACTCTTGCCTGTTTTCTTCATCCGTAACTAGGGCCAAATGGCCCTAACAAATGGCCCAGCAATGTGGTTGGGAAGTTAACGATGATGTAGAAGGGCAAGCCACCGGTACATAAGCCTATCCTCCCAGCTTAGCAACAGGAAGACTGGCCTCCTGAGGAGGGGAGTGGCCCAAGGAGGAGCAGGCCTACATGAGGCTGGAATTTCCCATTCTGTCTTAATCTGCCAAATCCAGATATGGGAACAAAAGAGGGGCCAGCCGACCTGTCCAGCTCCTAAAGGAGGAAGATGGCTCCCAGAAGTCCTAGAGAAGTGTGGACCTGCTCGAGGTCACACAGCTTCTCAGGGATGGGACCTCAAGGAAAAGGCTGACTATGCTTTGGACCTGAGCCAGGATGCCTTAGGTTAAAGTAGGCTGGAGAGCAAAGCACCCCAGGTGAGAGCAAGCAGCCTGGCAGAACAAGTCACCCTAGGGCTCTGAAGTTTGGGGATGGAGAAGGGTAAGAGAGTAGGGGTCTCTGAGGTATCTGACCCACATCTGACAGACTGACCCCCAGAGGTCTACAGGCAAAGAAAGGCCTCTGTGGAGGCAGTCAAGGAGGCTCAGCAGGAGGTCTGGGCTCCAGGCCTCAATGATCAAATCATCCTGAAGGCTGTCTTGCTCAAGCTCCAGCTATAGCTTGTCTGACCACACCCTCAGATGGAGTAAAATTAGTATGCTTTGGAAAGAAGGGGAGCCTGGGCAGGAGAGGCCACATAGAAATGCCTGAGGGAAGCCTGGACCTGCAGTTTTTTCTTTGTTCCTCTCCCAGAAGTGGCTGCTGTGGAAAATTACCCTATGGCCAGGAGCTCCAAACCACATCAACACACACACACACACAGCAATCATGGGGGGTTCCAAACCACACATCTATCCTACATTCAGCCTTGCTCCAGGGTCTACCCAGACTGGGGAATGAGGGAAGAAAAGATGGCTTCTCAGCCTATTAGCTGCCTCTAATACCCTAGCACCCTGAAGAGACACCCAAGAGTCCTCAGGAATTTGATTTGCCTGAAAATTCTAATAGCCCTTCTCCAAGAGAGAAGTGGAGAGGAGTGCTTGGTAAAATCTCCAGCTCACTTGAGCCACAGCGCCACTTCCAGCCTTCTCTGTCTATGTGGTGCTAAGGAATCGAACCCAGGGCCTCATGCATGCAAGGCAAACACTCTACTGCTAAGCCACCTTCCCAGCCCTTGGTAAAGTCTTAAGACCACTTTCTTCAGAGGTCTTCACTTGCTCTTATTGTGACTTAGACTCACATATTGGAAAGCTGGGCACCAGTGGCTCATGCCTGTAATCATAGCTACTCAGAGGTTGAGATCTGAGAATCACAGTTCAAAGCCAGCCTGAGCAGGAAAGTTCGTGAAACTCTTAACTCCAATAAACCACACACACAAAAAGTAGTGGTGTGATGGCTTAAGTGATAGAGCACTTGCTTTGAGCTGAAGAGTTCAGGGACAGTGCCCAGGCCCAGAGTTCAAGCTCCACGACCAACAGAACGTTTTTAAAAAATCATATATTGGGGCTGGGAAGTTGGCACAGTGGTAGAGTGCTTGCCTTGAATGCATGAGACCCTGGGTTCGATTCCTCAGCACCACATAAGCAGAAAAAGTGAAGCTATGGTTCAAGTGGTAGAGCGCTAGCCTTGAGCTGAAGAGTTGAGGGACAGCGCCCAGGCCCAGAGTTCAGGCCCCATGACCGACAAAAAATAAAAAATTAAAATCACATATTGGAGCTGTCACTCTGCAGAAGTGAGTAGACAGCAGATCAGTTTTACTGTTCTCATACTGAGTTTACTACATATATAAAAAACACAGGCCAATATGCACTCTACTGCAGTGGTTAAGAGAGAGGGAAGGAGTGTAAAGTCAACAGAAAACCTGTAACCCAGCTTAGAAAAAGCCTGTTTAAACTGAAGTCTGGCTGAAGCCCCCTGTGGGACTTAGTCCAAGGTGGGGGCGGGGGGGGGGGCGGGACAGTGGACCACCAGAACAAATCTTTGCTCCCTAGCCTGGGGTTACAATCATCAAGGTGAAGGTGGGGAAAGCCAAGCCAAGGGAATCTGTTTAGTGGTTTCTGCCCCTCAAAGGTGCTAAGACCACCAAATGAGATGCTCAGTCCCCTCTTACTGGGGAGTCCTAAGGAGACTCAAGGAGTAGAGACCACTGTGCTGGGAGGCACCAGTCACCCTATGGCACGAGGTCCCCCAGCCTGGCCCACAGTGACCCCAATGGACAGGATAGGCGCTATCTATAATCAATAAGAGTGCTTTCTTGGCCTCCCAAGTACTTTTTTATGTGATTAACTCGTTCGTCCCTCTCAACTGCCTTTGGAGGACATGGCAGCTTCAGCCTCTTGATGAAGAAACTGAAGCAGGAGGAGGTGAAGAGTCCTGCCTGGTGCCTCCCCAGCAGTTGCCCTGGATTTTGCGAAGATTGGAGACCAGGCAGAACCCAGCATTGTAGGCGCGGGCGGGGCCCTCCGCAGAGGAGACCCGGGAGTCAGGGCACCTAGCCAGCCAGGCCCCGCCCTCGGGGCCGCCTCAGCCAATGAGCATCTGGCCCGGAGTGGGGTGACGCCGCGTCAGCGCACGGCTCCTGGAAGCCGGGCCCTGGGTCACATGCGCGCCGCCTGGTCGACCCGGGGAATGGGGGCGGGGGGGGGGAGCGGTTGATAGGGAGTGGCTGGCGGGGCCCGGGCCCTTGGCCAGGTGGGCCGGATCTGGTGGACACCTGGCTGGGGCAGCTGCCAGGTGCATGTCACGTGCACCGCGAAGGGCTGGCCGCGGGTGGCCCGGCCGCCCCCCTGGGGATTGCGCACCAGTCAGCCTGACCCTGCCGGACCTCGGTGTTGTGAACTTCTCTAAGATGAGCTTCGCATCTCACCCTTGGTCCCCAAGTATTTTGCCCAACCATGCTGTGGGCAGGCAGCACTCTGCACTGCCTCCTGAGTCCCCCTCAGACGCCCCGACCTCGTCCCCCCAACCCCCCCCCCCACTGCTCCCCATCCCTCTTCTCTGGCTCTGATGATCCTTCACTGGGGCTGGAACTAAACTGGGACCCGCCCGGGTGGAGGTGGAAGGAGGCAGGCAAGCCGACTAAGAGACCCTAGATGACTGCTGACTTGGGTGATCTGGGCCAGGGCCGACCCTTGTGGGATCATTCCAGCTGGATTCTGCTGTGATCTGCCCAACTGATTTCTAGCCCTCTCTGCTCAGACACTCAACCATGATGGCATCTCAGGCTCTCTTTCTGGGTCACAATAGTAGATTTTCCTCAGAAGAGCTAGTGGAGGCACACAGTGAGAACAGACTGAAAGGACGAGGGGAAAAACACCTGTCTCCTAGGAGCTGCTGGGTAGACTCACAGAGGGAAATGGGTCCAGCTGGACACCAGCCCCCTCCGTGGCATCCACCCCTCCCTCCTCCCCAGCTAGGCATCATCTGACTGCTCCAGAGCCAAATCCAGTCCTAATCCTACATGTTCTGTTCCAGAAATCCATGTAGCTCACTCTACCCAAAACTTGGAGAGTCGAGGAGATGTTGGTGGAAGGAAACAAGTTTATTCTAGACTGGCCATGAAGGACACAAAAGAGAATCTCCATCTCCAGGGGCAAGAACTTTTTATGAAGGAAATGATGACTGTGGCCATCGACATCCACATTCTGCCAATACAGAGAAAGACTAGGTAGGGTAGGGTGTTACAAATGTAACTAGATGGTATGGGTTTTGTAGCTAGAGATTTAGCAGGTAGCAACATTTGGGTTTAGGTTTCTCTTTAGAATTGGCAGTACTCAGGGCCTTGCACTGCTAGGCAAATGCCCTACCACTTTAGCCACTCTTCCAATTGCTTTCCAGTGGCTGGAATGCTGGAAAAAGAATTAGGGAAGGGTAGAGGGCAAAAAGTAAGGGAGGGGGAGCAAGGGGCAGTTCTGAATGATTCCCTCTTAGGTTATAACTTTAAGAAAATTTGACCTTCTGGGCACTGGTGGTTCACACCTGTAATCCTAGCTACTAATGAGGCTGAGCTCTGAGGATCATGGTTCAAAGCCAGCCTGGGAAGGAAAGTCCATGAGACTCTTATCTCCAGTAAACTGTGGTTCAAGTGGTAGAGCCCTAGCCTTGAGCTAAAGAGCTGAGGAACAGCATCCAGGCCCAGAGTTCAAGCCCCATGACCAACCAAAAAAAGAAAAAAGAAAAAATTCACCCAAGTGCTAGATTTCTGGGTTTTGTGGAAAAAATAGGACCATGGGAGAAACCTGGACTTGGAAGTGGGTTGCCCCTTTAGCCAGGGCTATGAACTGCTTCCTTCAGTCCTGCACATCACCACAGCCCACTTGAGTCTTCTGGACACAAATGGAATGAAAAGGTTCTTGTGGGGGGGGCTGGGAAGGTGGCTCAGTGGTAGAGCGCTTGCCTTGCATGCATGAGGCCCTGGGTTCGATTCCTCAGCACCACATAAGCAAAAAGAAAAAAGCCAGAAGTGGCACTGTGGCTCAAGTGGTAGAGCGCTAGCCTTGAGCTGAAGAGCTGAGGGACAGCGCCCAGGCCCAGAGTTCAGGCCCCACGACTGGACCCCCCCCCCAAAAAAAAAGGTTCTTGTGGGCATTGGGTTTACCTCCCATACATCCCTTTTCACAGATAAGGGGAGTAAAGACTCAAGGGTGACAGGAATATACCAGGCACCACAGGTGAGGCTGTGGCTAGAGTAGGTATCTGGGAGAGAAGATGATCTTCTACAGAAACATCCACTGATTGACTCCTCAGTGCTGAGAGGAGAGGTTTGGCTTCTTCTTCTTGAGTAGATCCCTCTGCAGGTCACTTAGAAGTACCCCAAGTCCCTCCCCTCCCCCCAGTTCTTTAGTTCTATTTCTCCACTGGCTCCTGGAGCCCCTTGGAGAAAAAGAGGTGGTAGGGCCTTGCTCCTCAGGTAAATAGCCAGGACTGTGGCAAGGCCTTCCCAGCTCAGGTAGACGGCAGGTCCTTTCAGCTCAGGCCTGAGGAATGAGGGCTGAGGGAGCAGCCCAGGACTTTGTTCAAATGTGTATACCCCAGGAGTGCCACTCCTACCTCTAATCCTCTCCATATCACAGTGACCATCCTGCCTGCTACAAATCATCTGCTGTCTTCCTTCTTTTTACATGTGCGCACACCCCCCCCCCCACACACACACCAGTCTTGGTCTTGAACTCAGGGCCTGGGCACTGTCCCTGAGCTCCTTTTGCTCAAGACTAGCACTCTACCACTTGCGCCACAGTGCCACTTCGGACTTTTTCCGTGTATGTGGTTCTGAGGAATCAAACCCAGGGCTTCATACATGTGAGACAAGTACTCTACCACTAAGCCACATTCCCAGCCCCAAAATTACAATTAATCTTTTTTTTTTTTTTTTGCATGTGCTGGTCTTGAGACTTGAACTCTGGGACTGGGCACTGTCCTGAGATTTTTTTTTCCCCCTCAAGGCTACCACTCTACCCCTACTTTTTATGCTTTTTAAGGTATTCTTGTGTGTGTCCACGTGTGTGTGCATGTGTGTGTGCCACCAGTACTTGATCTCAGGGCCTGGGCACTGTCCCTCAGCTTTTTTCTCAAGGCTAGTGCTCTACTCCTTGAGCCACAGCTCTGATTGTAGTCTTTTGGTGGTTAATCAGAAATAAGATTCTCACAGATTTTCCTACTAAGGCTGGCTTCAAACTATGATCCTCAGATCTTAGCCTTCTCAGAAACTAGGATTACAGGTGTGAGTCACTAGTGTCCAGCTGGTTCTTAGGTTTGTTTTTTTGTTTGTTTTTGTTTTGTTTTGTTTTGACTGTGCAGCCCGAGCTGGCCTCAAACTCCAGTTCCTTTCACTTAGACCTCCTAAGAAGTGGGATTACAAACATGTGCCACCCTGCCCTCCCTCCGCAGTTCCTGGCCTAATTGTGGGAACTCTTGGGAAAGAGGTATCCTGTCTGCCAGCAGGAAGTTGGCCTGCAGCTGCTGAGAGCCTGCAGTCAGATATCCATCCACATGGATGAGCCAACCAGGAGAAAGCAGAGCCAAGACATACAGAGAAGCAGATACCTGGCCAAGCACATAAGCACCTGGATCCAGCTGTTCCTGAAGCTGATGTCAATTAAATAAACAAATTCCTCTTTTTGATTAACTGATTTATACTGCAATCAAAAAAAGGTCCACTATACTATTTCAAATGAGGAGTTTTGGGCCATGAATTTCTCAGCTTAGACAAAGGTGTCCTGATACTGATAACCTTGTTTATTTATTTTTTATTTTTTTTTGCCAGTCCTGAGACTTGAACTCTGGGTCTGGGCACTGTCTCTGAGCTTCTTTTGCTCTACCACTTGAGCCACAAAGCCACTTATGGCTTTTTTTTTTTTTTGAGTAGTTTTTTGGAGATAAAAGCCTCACAGACTTTCCTGTCTGTGCTGGCTTTGAACCACAATCCTCAGATCTCAGCCTCCTGAGTAGCTAGGATTACAGGCAGCAGACACCGGCACCCAGCTAACCTTGCTTATTGACAGAACCCCTCTTTTTTAGGAGCAATGAATATACTGGGGAAATGAGCTATGGACAGTACTCACCAGGGATGATGAGGCCTCTCCCTCCTAGGAGGCTGGTCAGCTGACTCAGAGCTGCAAGACTGTCCTCATCTCCCCTGTCTTCCTCCTTTTCACTTTCTCCTCCTCTTCCCTTTCCTCCACTATGGCTAGTCTGTCCACTGCAGCTGCCCAGCTGCCCTGGGGCTCTGTTGCTCCTTCCTGCAGGCCCTGGAAGAGAGCTTCAGCATTTCCTGGTTGTGGTGTGCTTCATTCTGGGAACTCAACCAGGCTCTCAGAGCAGGTCCTGCTCTCCAAGGGTAGAACCCAAGAGCAGCCCCTCCCCCAACCCTGTCCCTCTGGCACTGGCCTTGCCTGGGAACATAGAAACCACAGTGGACCAGATGTACTGGTGAATCCACGGCAATCTCTAGGCCAACTTTCTCTCCACCACGCAGGGACATAGCTCTAGTTTCCTGGAGTACCACAGTCTTGGCACAGGACTGAGGACACAGAATGGTTCATGGTATCTGTTCAGTGGGAACTGGGGTTGTGGGCCTCCTTCCTGTCAGAGGCCTTCTCTCTGCTCTTGCATGGAGTGTGCGTATGGGGAAGCACTAGTTCACTCCAACTGGCCAGAAACAAGCAGGATCTCATTAAAACCCCCTGGAGCTCATGATAGTAGTCGATCAAAAGAAGCTGGGTTGTTATACTTCTGGCCTAGGCTGGTGACCCCTGCCATGTACCCTCCCTCCTCTTCTCAGCAGCTGGAAACTCTGTCCTATGCCACCCATGTAGAAGGTTTCATTGCTGGCCATGGAGATGGCCTCCATAACCCTAGTCCAGGAGATACAAGTTTGGGTTTGAGGGCTGAGTCTTCCACGCCATGCACCCAAGACCAAGTCTATAGCTTTTTCTAGTCCCAAATAGTACAATGAAAGCCATGAGTCCCCTGCACTTGCGATCCGGCCTAACTTGGGTTGGTGAAGGAATTAAAAGGGTCTCCCAAGCCACCAGAAGAAGGCACGAATACCCCAGGTTCCTAACAGCCACCCATTGCAGCCTTTCCACCTTTTAGCAAGTACTGTAGGGCCCACTCCACCCCCCCTCCACCTCCAAGCAAGAAAGCAAGAGAGATGGTGGGGAAACAACACAGATAGGGTTCTTTTTGTGGGGGAGAAAATGTTCTATAATTGTATTGGATCAGAAAGAATCCAAAATTACTCAATTGTATATTTTACATGGGTAAATTATATACTACACCAATTATATATCTCAATAAAGTTGTTACCAAAGAAGGTGAGAGATCTAGGATGAAATACAGGAAGAGCTATAGCTTCTGATTGCAGTGTGAGCACTCAGGCAACCCAGCAGCTTTACAGCCACTACTACCAAGGCGCACTGGGCAGAGTACAGGGAGCTTCCTGGTAGGCAGATAGGCAGCCGGAGAGGGAGGGATGTCCCTAGCTGCTTCCTCCAACAAGGACCCCAAGGACCCATAATAGTCCCTTTTTAAAGAAGCTGGGGAGGTACTCCAACCTGGTAGGCCCTTGGGATGAAACCACAGAAATCACACAGGGAACAGTTCAATTATATGTTTATTGTGGAGAATTTTACATGCAAGAACCCAAACTAGAGAGATGGCATCTGGAGGGAGAGCCAGTGGGGTAGGTGGACACTCTGATGTCACTCTAAGCCTTCCAAGCCTTGACCCACCCTCCAGAACCAGCTCTGCCCACAGAAACACAAGACAGTGATGAGACACCAGACTTCTGGGACAAAGAGACAACAAACTCAACACATTCCTCTTTTCAATAGCCCCCAACAATCCTGAGAACCCTCACAAATGAAGTGCAAGCTTTAGGAAATAAATACCATCCCTGCTACCCAGGAGAGCTTGGAGGTTTGGGACATGGCAGGAGCAGTTCTGATGCAGGGCTGACAGGTTCCCCAGAAGGTGCTTGGCAACCTGGGAAGCCAGGCTTGGACCCCTATGGGCAGGTGGGGTTGGAGATGGGCACAGGGCAGAATGGGGAGCATCTTTAGGTGGAAACATCTTCCTCTGGGAGTGGCTGGTGCCCTGTGGCTGCCCTGTATGGTGGAAGAACCCAGCTCTCCCAACAAGAGATGGTGGAGAGGCCAGGGGGCTGACCCAGCAGTGCAAGAAGCTGAGGCTGGGCTCAGCTTCTTCCTCATGCTGCTCTTCTCTTGGCTGAGCCATCAGTCAGAAGAGAGCTTGCAGCAGGGCTAATTGGGGGGTGGGGGTGTAGCAGCAAGAAGATGAGGGCAGGAGCCCATACCACTGGGCCACACAGAGGCCTGCCACCATTCTCGAAGCTGCACAGTGCTGTCAGGGGGTGGGTTCTTGCCTCCCAATGGGCTACAGTGAGAACCACAGGCCTGAGAGCACGGGGTGGGGAAGGGAGGGGCAGTGAGCCAAGGCACAGTCACTCACAGAGGGGGCTCATAGACAAAAATGACAGGACGGACAGACAGTCACATTCCCCTCTGACCAAGGCCAGCAACAAGTCCCTTGTCCCATGTACTAAGAAACAAGTAGGTCACTCTCAGCCCAGCCACAGTCCACCTGCTCGAGGCCTGGGCTGGAACCACTCTGTGGTAGTCTTGCCAGAGGCCACTGTGCTGGGGTCAAACTGCAAGCAGTGACTTTTGTTTGTTGCTTCCCACTGGCCAAAAAGGTAGGCAGGAGGTTACTCGTCACACCTCAGCACACAATGAACAAAATAAAGGTTAAACATATCCCCAAGAAAATATTTTGACAAAATAAATATTTTAACCTATAATCAGGTATAATTAGTGCTTATGAGGCATCCCAGCAATAATTTAGTGTAATTAAGTACATACTGTATCTGTGATTTCTAACACTTATGGAGGCAGATGGCTTGCACGGGTCCAGGTCCAGCTTTCCCAACTAGTTCTGCTCCTTACTAAGCTGGAGGCCTGAGGGGTATGCCCCCCACATGGAGGGTGAGGGAGGATCACAGGCCCCAGGACAGGGCAACCCATAAGGGATGAGTAAAACCCCCTTCAGGGCAGCTGGGCCTGCCCTTGCTTCTGGTGTGGGCCTCAGCCTGCAGGTAGGGCAGCTACCTCTGGACAGGATGTGAACAGAGGTATGTGAAAGCCACCAGAGGGGCTGTTCCAGGCCAGGAAGGCAGGAGTTTCTTGTCTGCATGGCTAATGGCCTCCTGACAGCTCACAGGAGACCTCCAGTACCTGCTGCCTGTGGGGCAACCAGCTGGAGTCAGGGGATGGGAGCATCTCTGGACATGGGTACTAAGAGCAGCTTTGCTGGGGACCTCCTGAATTCAGGCAGGTCCCTGTACAGCCTTGCTTCCTACGGGAATTGATCGTCTTCTCTATGTAATACATAGGCAGGGAGGCTGCCTTTTCCCTCAGAAGATGCTGGCCTGCCTCCCTACCACTCACCAGCTCTGGCAGGCTAACAGAAGTGGGCTCTGACCCTCATAGGATCACCCCACCCGACTATGCAAGGACTAGCTCTCTGGGTATGTAGGCCCCCATGCCAGCAACCTCCCCTGTAGCTTAAGCCAACCAGCTCCCTTCAGAGGTCTTAACAGCCAAGTTTGCCTCAGGGGCTCTGCTCTTGAGAGACTGAGAGAGGGGCCTGGGTTGGCCAAGAGCTGGGAATCAGAAGGTGGAGTATGGCAGATGCTCAGAGGATTGGACAGGAAGCAGGCTGGCTGAACTTGGGAAGGTGCTTCCAGGATATCCTCTGCAATATGAGTATTATATCCCCTACTGGTTCTGTTAGATGGACCCAGTATGCAGGCCTCCTTCCTAGAGGCTGCTGGAGGGGTACTGGACAGCATGGAGTCCTGGGGCAGGACCATTCCTGCCCTCAGCCTTCACTGCAATCCTGGTTATAAGAGCATCACAAAGTGCTGCACTGGTATTTTATCCCTCAAAGCCTGGCCTCCTCTCTGTGATAAGGTTGATCTCTGGTGGTGACAGGGGGAAAGGATGATCACATCATGAACACGTGGTAACCTGGGGTGCCAGAGAGTACAGTGAGCAGGCCCTAAGACTCAGGAGGGGCTGCTGCTGCTACAACATTTGTTTTCTGATAATGGCAGCTTAGGGAAGGACAGGGTTGGACCAGGACATGGCTAATGCTGAGTCCATTGCCTAGGGCCAAAAAAACACCAGCAAGGACACAGAACAGGAGCAGGTGTCACCAGCCCCCATCTGCTCAGCCTTAGGCTGTGGCCTTCAAATGGGAAGTGGGGGCTAGGGGACATGTAAGGTGGGAGGGATCATTCTGTCAAGACAGCTGGGAAGGAGGCTGAAGCCCCTTCCAGGGAGGGCAGAAGGAACTTAGTGTCATTCTAGCCATTCAGTCATTTGGAGCCTCCAGACATGGTGCATAGCTGTTTGCTACCAGGCCTGGGTATGGAGGCTGCTACAGGCCAGGCCAGTGCTATGGGCATGGTACAAATGCAGCAAACCCACATCATCTTCCCACATATGCCGGAGCCATGCCTCTCATACAATCCTCTCCAACACCAGGGTCAGGTGTGGGGGTGATGTGCAAAGTATCCACGGGGGCCAGTTAGTTTGTAGCAGAGCTTGCTACTCAGCATGCCATGTGGCCAGAGTTTACAGGTTACATGCTGCCTCCCAGATGCCCTTGGCTGTCCCTATACCAAGAGCCAAAGGTCCTTCTGGGCCCTTTGGTTCAAGACTTAGCTGCTGAACCAGCACAGGCATGAGGAAGGAGCTGGCAGCCTACAGAGTCCTCTAAAGTGCCAACACATAAAGTGTCACAAGGTGACACACAGTCCAAGGAAAGAGACTGAGCCTATGGGCACAACTGAGCCTTGCTCCACACCAAGCCCTTTCTGGAAGAGCGGGGCACAGGGGAACAGCATGCCTGAGGAAAGCCACTGAACCAGGAGGAGGTGGGCGCATGTGGCAGGAATAGAACCTGACCCATCTCTATTGGAGATAATGAAGGGGACAGTTCAGATGCTCTGCTCAGGATTACCAAGTGGGGGCTGCCCTTCTTGGGGCTGGGCCACTGGTTCTTCCTGGGATGACCCAAGGCCAGTGGAGCCCATGCAGGTAGGGGAAGGAAGCCTCTGGCTGCCACTGTCCCACCACCTAGAGAAAAGAAGGTGACAAAAGCTGGTCCTGACTAGGAGAGGTCTGGGAGCAAACACAGTGGTGTTTCCATGGAGACACAGGTGTGCAGGCCGAGGGGCTGGGGAGCAGTGGCCAGTGCCCGTGTCCACTAGGGGAACCAGCAGTGCCCTGCCAATCAAGGGAGGCAAACCACAGAACAGCTCACAGGGCAAAGAGGGCATCCTCAGACCGCTCTGGCTTCTTTCGACCAGAAGGGTTGGAGGCTGGCGCAGGGGCTTCCATAGGGGGTGAGGGAAGGTCAGGAACCATTTCAGCAGCTTTGGCTCTTTCTTCCAGGAACTTATCAAACTCTGCAATATAAACCAAGGCAAGGCACAGGGTTAGTGGGAGATACAGCCTTCTTGTTTTCTAGGGTATGCTTTATTTCTCCCCACGGAGTCCAACCCAGCAGGAGATCTCCACCTCTAGCTTGAGAGGTTACCATGTTGCCCTAGAGGGCAGCTCTGTCCAGAGGCAGGAATGGCAGGGCAAGCTGCGGGTCAGCACCATTGATTCTGTGCCTTTCCAGCTTGGGGAATCCATCTCAGCAAAGTTAGTCCTCTCTCCCATATCTACTCGCAAGGCAAGCAGGAAGCCCAACTTGAAGCTGATGATAGGGAAAGGATCTGACAGCCCGCAGGCTCTGTAGGAAAAGTTTGGGGAAACACAACCCAGAGAACTTGCCCCATCAAGGTCTTAGATCTCTATTTCCCAAATCAGCATAGGGCCAGGGAGGGATGAGGGAAGGATTCTTTTTTTTTGGGGGGGGGGTCCGTTCATGGGGCCTGAACTCTGGGTCTGGGCGCTATCCTTCAGCTCTTCAGCTCAAGGCTAGCACTCTACCACTTGAGCCACAGCGCCACTTCCGGCTTTTTTCTTTTTGCTTATGTGGTGCTGAGGAATCGAACCCAGGGCCTCATGCATGCAAAGCAAGCGCTCTACCACTGAGCCATCTTCCCAGCCCCGGAAGGAGGATTCTTTACTGGGTCTCTACCTGGCCTGACTGACCAGGGTTGGGACCCAAATGGCAAGCTGTGGCAACTATTAGTTTTCCCAGTGAAAAATCATGTTTTGTTTTGTTTTTCCCCTTAAAGGAGAAGGGAGATGTTACTTCCTATATCATCACAACCCTGAAGGACACAGCTCAGAGACTTAACACTTATAAAAACTTTGGCAACAAAGGCTCTATGAAGAGGTGGGCCCAGTACTTGTATAGCCCCAGAGACTAGGGTGGAAGAGAAAAGGGGCCTGCAAGGTCACTGGCTGGGCTTACCTTCACTTGTGACACCCTCTTCCAGGTCATCGCCCTTCTGTTGGAGGAGCAGATAGAGTAGCATTAGGGCTTGTCCTAGCCTTGCCTGCCCAGCCACCTCTGCCCATCCATGACCACTTAATTGGCACTTCTCAAAACAAACAAAACTTTATTTTTGTAATAGCAAAATACTGCTCTTCTTATTAGAAGCAGAAATTTTGTTAAACAACAACAACAACAAAAAAGATAAAGGGAATAGGAAACCAAACCAAACAGGTTCTAAGTTTTGATCCCTCATAAGGGCCAGAAAAAAATTTTTAAAAGTATAAGCTGGGGTGAGGATAAGACCCCACCCATTGATTCTTTGAAGGCTCTGGACAGAAGCCAGGGTAGTCACAGGAGGCTGAGGTGTACCAGTGTCTCCAGATGTGCTCCTCTGTGCAGTATCTGCTCACTGTCAGTGTGGGGTTCTGGGAAGACACTGTTCCCAGCAATAGCTAGGGGCTATTGGAGCCTGGATTGCCCCCCACCCCACCAGTTGGTACTTTGGCAGTGGGAGCTCTGTCTCCTGGAAGCCTGAATAGAGCCTTCCCCTGTGGTCTAGACCTGAATCCTCCTGCCAGCCCCTTGAAGGGAGTCTGCTGGGAACATTGTTAGACAAGATTCTCCTTTCTTTCTTTCTTTTTTTTTTTTGGGGGGGGTCCAATCGAGGGTCCTGAACTCTGGGCCTGGGCACTGTCCCTCAGCTCTTCAGCTCAAGGCTAGCGCTCTACCACTTGAACCACAGTGCCACTTCCGGCTTTTTTTCTTTTGTGCTTATGTGGTGCTGAGGAATCGAACCCAGGGCCTCATGCATTCAAGGCTAGCTCTCTACCACTGAGCCACCTTCCCAGCCCAAGATTCTCCTGAGTCTTAGGTCCCTTGAAAAGGGAGGGCTTCAGCACTTCCTGCTCTTCCTCTGTGAAGGAAGCTATTTCTTTTCTGAGCATCCTTTAGGAAAAAACATGGGGCACTTTTTCCGCCCCCTGACACCAGGTTAGCTGTCTCTTTTAGCTAGTGAGTGTCTGTGGAAAGCCTGGCCTTCCAGGAAGGGGAGGGATCCTGATTGTCAGAGGCCTGCTCTCCTCTTGTGGAAGATGGCCCAGTCACTAGCCTGGGTCTCTAGATCTGGGAAGAATTCAACCTAGCCCATGACCCTGGGAAAGCCACATCTCCCCACAGGAAACTTCACTGGACACTGACCAATTCCTTCCCTTCCCAGAGCTACAAACTTTGTAAGGAACAGAGGGATGAACCTGTAACCATTTTCAGATGCATAACATCCTTGGCTTTCATCCTGTTTCTTAGAATGGAGATAACACTCTTTGGGGGAAGGTTTTTTTTCCCCCCCAAAAAAGCACTAGAAGATACTGGGCAGGGGGATGACAGTGAATTAAAAAAGAAATCCTCTCAATTCATCTCTCTATATTTCACAATTAAAAAAAAAAGGACTGAGGACATAGCTCAGAGATATACTTGTCTAGCATGCACAATGTCATGACTTCTGTCCCCAGCACCGCAAAAACAGAAATTGAAATAAAAATAAAACAGAAAAATTACATCTAAAAATGAAAACAAAAACAAACAGGAAATACTCCCCTAGCCCCCAAGCACACACCTCCTTGAAATCAATCCAGAGGAGTCAACCAACGCTGGGTCAGCAGCTTTGCTCCCAGACAGTGGGATGTCAGGAAGGACCTGCCCACACCTGTGCAGGACTGTGTGGATGAGGAACTGTACCCTGAGCCCCACCCATCACTGGCCTCCAGAAGTCTTCCACAGCACCCCTTGCCGAGGCCAAGCACTGGGAAGGAAGGTGGCTGCAGAGGCTGTGATAGACCTGACCCTCCTCCACCCACAGATGGGGGCTCATCAGCCCCCCATCCTCAGAAGAACTTCTGCCTAGCCACTCCCCGTACACAAAGTATAAAAATTGAGTCTCACCAGGTCCGTCCTGAGCCACACCTCAATGTCGTCCATGACAGAGGGCTGCGAAACGGGGATCTATGGAGGCGGCAAGCAGCGGGACCAGGCAGCCCCCACACAGCCAGGCAGAAGAAGACAGAACACCGGAACAAAATAAATCGTCAAAAAGCAACCCCCAAATGAAACCAAAATGTACACAGCAAAACAAAAAAAAAAAAAAACAAAAAAACACAATTGCATGGCACGCAGTGCAGCACAGGGCAGCCATATGTGAAATGGCAGGTGAGGAAAGCAAAGGAGGTGGCAAACAGTCAGAAGCAGAGGCCCGTGGCAAGGAAGTACACATTCTTAATATGGATAACTTTTTGACTGCATGTGTCTCTTCTTGTAATCACAGGTACAAAGCACCTTCTACTCTCAAGAATGTGGTTGTCTTATAGTAGTCATGACAGCCCAGGAGAACCAATTGCCCTGAATCAAGCCCAGCCCAGGGAGTGACTCCAGGAGCCAAGAGGGGCCTCCCCCATACTCAGAGTGGGATGCAGGTATCAACCAGCCTTGGAAGACACCTGAGGCTCTGTTGGCTCTGTTTAATAGGTTGCCAAATCCATCTGTCTGGATTATATTCTAAGTGGAAGGAGGAGCCAGAGGCTAGAGCTCCACTGGCTTGGGTGTGGCATGGTTGACAGAAAGGAGGCCTGCTTTACTACCAATAGAAATGTGGCTAAAATGAGGGTTTTAGTGACAAAGGGAACTGCAAGGCTTCACTGCTAAAACGAAGGCTTTGGTGACAAAAAGACTGCGAGGCTTTAGTCTTTATGTCTCCTCAGAGGGGGAAAAATAATCACACAGTAGCTCTGAACACAAGTTTCCTTTAGTCTCATGCTTTCTACTTTCAACAGTAGTCTCCTGCAGTCAAAGAAAAGAAGTTCACTGAGAACTGGGAGCAGTGACCAGGGCACTGGCGAGGTGACAGGGCTCCCCCACAAACCTAATAGATGCCTGACAAATTACAACCTGGACTTTTGAGCCTCAGGCAGAGATTCTGAAAAATTCATGTGACTAAAACAATTTATGTTGTCAACTATGATGTGATAAGAAGTGAAAGTGGCCTTTAACCCCTTCGAAGCCACTTTAATGAGATAATTGGCACCCAGTCCAGACAAATAAGGTGATGGCCCTTAGTCAAGGACCTTGTTCCTTACCTATCCTGGGCCTAGGAAGTAATTTTGGAGAAGAGGGGAATGTCTTAATTGACTACTATTTCTAGAAAAGAAAAGCTAGTGTACACCTATTGCTGTCTATACCTCAATGTCCTAGAGTAATGATAAAGTTTAAACAAGCAGTAAGAAGACTGTGTCAGTGTAAACTAATTCTAAAAAATGACTCAGCCTTAACCAAGGAAAAACAGAAAATTCCTAGAACCAGCCCTGATCTAACTAGTCTTGGAGGCTGACATCTGCTCCCGAAGAGGGAAGGGTTTGGGACTTCAGGTGGAGCATGCACAGTCTGAGCAGGTGCCTGCAGTGTTGTGAGAGCCCCTCCCTCCCTCTGTGAGCTGTCAACCCAGGCTCTGAACCTGCTCTGTGTCCTATCTGCAACCAGACGTGGGCAGTCACATAAGTATTTTCAGAATGCCAAACTACCCACTGACCAGATTAGAAGAATCTCTCTATGTTGCCATTTTATCCTTTCTGGGGGACTGCAGACTGTTGAACTGAAAACATTCCTGCGAGTTCTTACCACCCTGATATGAATGCTAGGGATAAAATATGTGACTACTCACTCAGGGTGGGGACATGAATGCTCCATGGCTGTGCCAACAGTGCTTAAGGCAGGCACCCACCTTCCCTGTCAAAGAGCAGCAGGACACAGCGGGTGCAGCCTGCTATCCGATGCTTGCTGGCAGGCCTTCTGCCTTGACACATTCCTGGAACAAGGAGATGCCATTTTCATGATCTTGATGCCTCTAAATCATAATGCCTGGCTCAGAGAGGATGTGTGCCATGCTGAGTCCCAACACCAAGGCTCAGCCAACCCCTCAGCTGCTAGAGCACTCTTACATGGCCTTCCTTTGTTTGTATGTATGCAGCATAAACCACCCAGAAGAAACTGAGACTCCATGTACTGAGCTTTTCCCTTCTTTTTTTTTTTTTTCTCCTTTGTAGTACCTAGGATGGAACCCAGAGTTTCATGCATGCTAGGCAAGCTCTACCACTGAGCTTCTTTTCTGATGTGTTGCTAAAATTTGAAAAAAGCCTCTAAGAGAAGCTGGGTGTGATGGTACACACCTGCAATGCCCAAACTCACAAGGCTAAGGAATGCTAGCTGTCAGTGGCTCATGACTGCACTCTTAGCTATTCAGGAGGCTTAGGTCTGAAGATTGCAGTTCAAACTCAGCTGGGGCAAGAAAGTCCCTGAGACTCTTATCTCCAATAAAACCACTAAAAAGCCAGAAGTGGCGCTGTGGCTCAAGTGGTAGAACGCTAGCCTTGAGCTGAAGAGCTGAGAGACAGCGCCCAGGCCCAGAGTTCAGGCCCCACGACCGGACCCCCCCCCCAAAAAAAAAAAAGAAACTTTAAAAAGGCAGTAAGTAACCATGGGTTTAAAAATGTTTAGTTTTTTTTCCTTACAATTTTTTTTGTTACTATTAAACAACAGAAGGCTATTGGTGGAGCTCAGTGGCAGAATACTTGCCTAGTATGGATTTAATTTCCAGTGAGGTAAAAATAAATAAATCTTTGGATATGAGATCATGATTACATTTTCTTCTTTGAAGACTAATCTTGACAGATATCATGCAAAACAAAACATCAACAAAAAAACACCTTACACTATTGCTCTCTTCCCAGATGTACCTGAAACTTATGTGTAATGTGTGGAATGGCATCCTCCAGACAAGTCTGGGAGCCAGGCAGAGCATGAGAGGGAGAGCATAGGTAAGGGTGGTGCTGGGCTCCAGTTGGGCCACACCTCTCATTGGTGGAAGCTTGGGGTGAGTTGCTTCTCTTAGACCCTTCACTGAGTTGAAGAAACCTTTAGTTTCTTCACTGGGTAGTTCCAGCTTCTTTTGACCTAAGAAGCCTTAGACTTGTGGGTGAAAAGGCAGGCACAATTTCTTCATCTGTGGAATAAGGTGATTTATAAGGTTATATTTAATTTTCAACCCTCCTGGAGTCAGAATACCTTAGCTTCCAAGTTGGTGCTTCTGTTCCCTAATGCTGACACCCAAGGAAGTTAGAACATTGGAACTGACTTTATAGTAAAGCTACCAGGCCTCAGAACATGAACTTCTGAGGATCCAGGGTGCTGGTTACCAGGTGAGTTTGTCTAACATAAGACAGGATTGACTTTCTTGTGCTGGGATGTAAAGCCTTAGCTACAAAAATCTGCTCTGGTCAATAAGTGTCTGGAGTATTTTAACAGGGTCAAATCCCTTCTATTCATGCAAGTGCTAGGAGACCTAGACTGAACACATATACTGACATAAAAATATAACAGAGAGGCTGAGAGGGAGGAGATCCCTTTTCTAGGCTGGAGAGAAGGGAAGAACCCTGGCTAGAGAAGGGTTCTGAGTCTTAGGGGACTAAGTATCTCTACCCTGTGGTTTTAGACAAGTCCTCAGACCCTTGGAAGGCCTCAGCATCAATCTATCAGACCAGAGACTGGCCCAGAAGATCTCTAGGAGGCCTGTTGGCTTTGAAACACCATGGTTAAATGGTCTTGGGCACTGATCCGAGTGGCAGGCTGGCTCAAGGTGTCTGAAAAAAAGTAGGTATTGGACAAGGGAGACAAAGAAGAAAGATGTGAAGAGAGACTATAAAGGCAAGTGATAGAATGCTTGCTTAGTATGGAGCTTGCTCTGTGGAGCTCAGCATTGAGGGCCCTGTACACCCCTATCCCATGGGGACTAAAGCTTAAAGTTGAATCTTGTAAAGCGAGAAGCCGGGATAGCAGGGTGATTGCCCTGGTAACCTCTATCTGCACAGTAAAAATGAAACAGGCAACTCACATGCCCAGGAGGCAGATTCAGATCTGGGCGGTAGGCTGCTGTTTTGCTGCAGGTTCTTACCTGAAGGGCAGGTAATACTACCTTGTCTCAGGACAGAGAAGAGGTGCTGCCATCAGATCATCCCAGACAGTGCTCTCTGGGCTGTGTCTGGGGGTCTCCTAGGGTTACTGAAAAGGAGGGACATGGACAGTCCTAACTTTAAGCTAAGTTTTGTTGCAATAGGTTCTCTTCACTAACCTACTTTTGCTCTTGCTTTGACTTACATTTGTTTTCACCAGGACATCTTCCTGGTTCTGTAGCCTGCAAATAGGAGCTAGCCCCAGCTGATCATCAACCAGAAGAAGCAGAGATCAGGGGCCAGGGAGATAGGGAAGGATGAGCCATTGGCCCAGCACCAGCTCATACAGATCTCGTTTTAGTTCAGCTAGCAATGGACCTAACTTTTATGCTAGATAGCCAACAGCTGAAGTCTTAAGAGAAGAAGACCCTAATGAGGCACTCCTCCACAGCTGGACTCAAGTCCATTTGACTTTCAATGCGATGAGAGCAAGGGGAGGCTATGAAACTCACCCCATAACATTTCAGCTAGCCCAATGCGGGGAAGTGTCTAAAAGCCTCTGTCCTCAAGCAATAGTACAAAAAGTTTCCACGTAAGAATTTGTACTCAGGAAGTTTGGAAAGACTCGAGGTTTCTATACTATGGGGCATAAGGCGAAGCAATTAATAAACATTTTAATCATTTGAATATCATTAAAAACTGCAGGCAGGAGGGTGAGACACCAGGTTAGCTGTTAGTTGGGTTTGTTTCTGAGAAATTGGAGACTGGAGTGCTACTGAGGACAGGCATTAGGGAGGCAGCTAGTGTGGGTAGAGGCAGATGCTACCACTAGCTGCCAAGACCACACTCTGTAGTTTGAAGGGCAGTATCCTTTTTTGCAGGATTATTAGGCACAAGGGTACATGGGCTGGATCTTCCCAATTTGGACAGTGAATTACACATGGTTTCTAGGAACCTGTTCTAAGGTCAGAATCTACCATGTTCCTGAAGAAGCCTATGAGGGGTCTGGCCAGCTTACCCTTTGAGGAATGACGTTAGGGATGATGCAGGAACCACTGCTTTCTCATTCAAGGAGAGAGAGAGAGTGCTGCTAATGCAACTGCCATCAGCCCTTACATAGGCAGGTGGCCTTTGTGCTGCCTATATAGTCTTGGACCTTCTTGCCCTACCAGGCATCTGCCTGTCTTGGTTCTTCACCTGACCACATCCTGGCCAGTGTCCAGGGGTGATCCTGTGTCTTTCCCATCCCACCCACCTGGAAGGCAGAGCCCTACATATCCCTGTCTATCACCAGTTCTTCTCTGCATCCTCACTCACTCTGGCCCCACCACATGCACGTGGAGCTTTGGCTCTGTGTTGGAGGTGAACTGGTCACCCCAAGACAGTCAGGGTTGAGGTCATTTCTCTCCCAAGGCTATCCATCTGGCCCAGGGCTACCTGAAACAGATAAGGTAAGACAGTTCCTCCCAGGGTTCTATGCCTCAAAAGCACCTCTAATTAAGAACTAACTATGCTTAGGGAATTGAGTTCCTCCAACTTTGTCTTCTTTTAACTCTATCCCAACAGTTGGTGTGAATTTCTGTAAGAGGTTTCAAGTCCTTTGGGGAGCTTAAGTGAACATAAATAACCATTATAAAAGCCCACCAAGCCTAGGACTGCAAAATTCCCATTAGGCTAGAGAGTGCTGCCTTGATTAGCCAGAAAAGCCTTTTCCCTTACAATGGTGTCCTCATCCCCAAGCACAAGCCACAGTGGTCCTGCTTATCCTGGAAAAATGAATACTGCCAGCGTTCTAGAGATAGTCAAGAGGAGGGACCGGCCCTCCCCTCACTCCTGCTAGTATCACACATCATGAAGGCCCAGGGCCATGGGACCCAACCAAAACCCAGAGGTATTTCTGGGGCTGAAAGCCTGAGGCTTTAGAAGATTGTATATAAATAGGAGGGGAAATTTGGCACCCCTGTCAGAAGGAGCGAGTATGACTGTATCCCATCTGATCACAAGGGCTAGGCAGGTGGCAAGAGGAAGGCACTGTTACACAGGTAAGGGGCTAGGGTGGGCAGCGGGCTTGCTCAGCTGTGGCTCCTCACCATTCCTTGGGACATGAGCCAGCTGTCTATGGGCTCCAGGTCAGAGTCCCCACCTTTCCCTCTCTGCTGGGCCAAGGACAGAAAGGTCCCAGAAAGAAAAGTCACAGCAAGACCCATGATAAAGAAGTCATAGCATATATTGTGGAAATAGAAAAGTTACTGTTCAGATTTGATGGTTAGTCCTGTAAGGAAATGTGATCAGATGTCCCCCCACCCCCCACCCAGGAACATCCTCTTACCTGCTTGGAAAAAAGAAGGAAAGTTTAGTAGCCATGAATCCCAGCAGGATAATAAATACTCATACCGACTACTGAACATCTGGAAAGTCTCTGAGGTCACAAGTTACCCTAGACTGCTTCTCATGCATTTAGAGACACCAGGCAGGATGAGCAAGGGATCCCATGGAAAAATTCAATTTTTTTTTTTTTTTTTGGTCAGTCATGGGCTTGAACTCTGTGCCTGGGTGCGGTCCCTCAGCTCTTCAGCTCAAGGCTAGTGCTCTACCACTTGAGCCACAGTGCCACTTCTGGCTTTTTCTGTTTATGTGTTGTTGAGGAATCGAACCCAGGGCTTCATGCACCTCATGAGGCGAGCACTCTACCACTGAGCCAACTTCCCAGCCTGAAAAAAATCCAATTCTACAAGACTATTTCTACATTTTCCTTATTCCTGATTTTTTTTTCTTTTCTTTCTGTTAGTCTGTTCTTTCCCTAAATTCTTAATTTGAATGCTGTTGGATATATCTTTTATTGCTTATTTATTTATTTTATTTTTGTTTTTGTGGGTTGGGAATGGAACCCAAGGCCTTGAAAATGCTAGGCAAGCAGTTTACAACTGAATTACATCCCTAGCCCTATACTCTTAATTAAATAAAATTTTTATGTGTGTATGCTGGTCTTGGGGCTTGAACTCAGGGCCTAGGTGCTGTCTCTGAGCTTTTCTGCTCAAGGCTGGCACTCTACCACTTGAGCTATAGTTCTACTTCCAGCTTTTTGGTAGTTAATTGGAGATAAAAGTCTCACAGACTTTCCTTCCCAGGCTGGCTTTGAACTGTGATCCTCTCAGATCTGAGCCTCCTGAGTAGCTAAGATTACAGGTATGAGCCACCAGTGTCTAGCTACTGTCTTTTTCTAAGTGATAGAAATATTTAAAGTAGGGACAGTTGACATGATAGGATCTTACTGTGGAGGTGTGAGTGTACAACATGCTCTCCTTCTTTATTGTGCTCTCAATTTCTCTCTTGGCCCACTTTTCTTTTCCAGGTCAACATGGCTTGGGAGGGGCCAAGAGAGCCTATACAATGTATGTGTAGACACATACACAGACACACATAGCCAACACATGTCCAGCCACCTTGCTGAGGCTGTGCCTAGCCCTGGTGAGCAGCAACAGGAGAAACTATGCCTATCACCAAGGGGCAAACTTGCTAGAGTTAAGACCTTTGAAATTAAGGAGCCAGGCCAAGACACACACTCAAAGGGTAAAGGGTGAGAAGTCATCCACATCTCCCGGACTTGGACCCAAGCCTGGGTACTGATAACAGCAGGGGTGAGGCAGAACATATGTTGGCATGATGGGGCAAGCCCTAGAACCAGAATGGACAGCAAACAGCCTTGCTGATAGATGAAGTTAATCTAGGCCAGGCCAGGGCCAGGCAGAAGGAGGGGGCACCCTCACGAAGCAGTTTGCTGGCAGACCTCAGCCCAGCTCTCTAATGCCAGGTTAGGTGCCAGGACAATCTAGCTAATGGGAAAATGAGCTATGACTTGCATGGATGGGGAATGGCACTGATGGTCCCTGCTATAGAAGAGTAGGGTGCTGAGAACCCAAGGCAGCTGGCCAGTTCTTCTGCGCCCCCTGGTGACAAGTGCCAAGGATGCATGTTTTCAGATCAAGTTGGCTTGGGAGTTTTTTCCCTATGGGTAAACTTTCTCATGACATCAGGCAGAAGCCAGACAGCCTGTCTGGGCCCACTTAAACAAGAACTGCAAGAGGCAAGGAACCGGTATTTGGGAAGCAGAGAGCCCTATGCAAACCTTCCTGTCCAGCAGACGGGTAGGTATTGCTTCCTTCCAGCCAGGCCTAGGGGTCCTGGCAGGAGTTCCAGCTGTGTTAGACAGTTGTCATGGCAACCCTCCTCTTCCCTGTCCTGCAAACATGAATGCATTCATATACCTTCTAGTTAGGCTCACAGAGAAAAATCTTGTAAGAAGTATTAGACATTAACACTTTAGCCTTCTATGATATGAAGTTGTAAAGAACCTTGGCTGTATTTTGGGGATGCAGATGCCACCCTCCACTTCAAAGTGTCTCCCTCCTTGGCTTTGTTTTTTCCAAGCCTGGAGTTTTCCAAGGCAGCCTCCTAGCCTCCTCTAACTTCCTTAGCTCCCCAAACAAGTCCTGACCACCAAATTGCCTTCTACTAGCATTGGCACTGCTTGGCTAGGCCAGCTGCCAACGGTCATCAGAGTGACTCAGATCAGCATTCACCTTCCTTATGAAGGAAATGCACACTCCCAAGGCCTTGTCACGTGTGGGGAGAATCCTATGTGCACATAGAATAGGAGCTATGAAGCTGGACACTCCTAGGGTAGAATCCCCATATGCTTCTGCTCTCCAAGAATCCCTTGGTTTGTCTGCTGCCTCTCTGGTTGGTTTCCTCTTGTGTATTACAGGAATGTTACCTCACAGTGTAGGGAGACTCAATGAGGCATTATTTGGTGGTACATAGTTACTTTAAGCATCTCTCTGGCAGCGCAGCAAGTCCTGACTATCTACATAAGCAAGCAGCTGCCGAATTATCCAGATAGCTTTGCCAAATGGCTTGTCTTTCCCTCCAGAAGACTCCGGGTAGAAGAACAGTTGAAGACCTACCACTTCCGAGTTCTGTTTCCGACTGTCTAATGCAGAAGCGAGTCCTCCAACAGCCTGAGGATCCTCATAGGTGACCCTAGAGAAAGTGGTGGGAACAGAGGTGAGTTCTTCCCCCAGTGATCTCAGGAGGTGGGATGGAGATCTCTAATTACTTTCTATCCCTTGGTACCTTCTTTGTGTGACCTTGGACTTGGGTATAGGTTGAAGGTTCATGCTGTCTTCCTGCAGCTGAAGCAAAGAGGCTGGCTTTTAGCACAAGTTTACCACCCAACTCCTCTGGGACCTGGAATATTGTGTGTTTCAAGGTCCCATTCTTGAATAACAATACAAGGGCCTCTCTGTCAGGATGTCAAATGTGTCCCAAAACTCCTCAGAGGATGGAGTTTACATAAAGGCAAAGTAATATTAATTCTGATTTTATAAGCAGCACCCACCTTTAGGCTAAACAGAAAGCTCAAAGTATGTTCTATGCCTAAGATACAGGGGTTTGTGTATTTTGGAATCAACTCTTTCAATTCCATATGGCTCATCCTTGCCAGAATTATTGCTGGAGAAGTCTCTTCCCTAACCACTTATTTTAGGCAGCTGAATCTTTTTATTTGCTTGCAATAGGGTGGCTTCAATCTCTTGGTCCTCCTGGCTTAGTCTCTCACATGCTGGAATTATAGCTATGTACTACCGTGCCCAGCAGGCAGCTAAATCTTACTACTAGGAACCTGTCTGGGTCACTGTCTGGCTGTACCCTCCCAAGTCTGAACTCCTGAATGTGAGGAACTTGAGCAAGGCAGTGCCTCATTCACAGCATGGGCAGGAAAGAAAGAAACATAGTCTCTTGTGACTGAAAGAAGAATGACACCACAGTCAACCCCAAGGGCAGAGGAGAGTGGAAGGAGGGGAGCTGGAATTCATTGAGTACCAGCAGTGAATGCCAAGTCCTCACAGCTATATTTTAAAGTTCCTGGCAGTCTTGGATCTGGTAAATAAAAGGCTTCTTTGTGATGGCCTGGGACTAGGCCTGAGTCCACTCTCCCTCACCCTCCAATATCTTTTGATAGCACTGGAAGGGGCCCCACATACGTCTTGCGCTGCTCTGCCAAGGAGTTCCCTCTGGTCTGGGCAAACATGTCAAAGCCGTCACGAGGATTACACTGTTGGAGTGAACTAAGGGTACCACTGACGCTCTCTGTCCCCAAGTCTGTGACAACAAAACAAGAGACAGATAGAACAAAATCTGAATTATGAACCTGGTGGTAGGCCCCAAGGCCAGCAGTTCAGCCGGTAGATTAAGAGCCTACAGGGGGACAGGGCTATTCTCAGCACTCCTGAGACAGGGCAGGCTCAGGAAGGGGGGGGTGGAAGCAGGACAGCCACTGCTCCTAAGGCTGATCAAGGAAAAAAACAGGAGATTAGAGTTAGAAGGGAGGCTGCTGGCAATGACAGCAAGGACAAGGGCCATCATATTTCACCATTTCTACCATGACGTTGTCAGAGTGCCCTGTGTTCATTGAATCACATTATCTAAGGACTTGGGCCATTCACTCATTGTTTTGTTTTTGTGCTGGTCCTGGAACTTGAACTCAGGGCCTGGGCACTACCCCTGAGCTTTTTTGCTCAAAGCTAGTACTCTACTACTTGAGCCACAGCTCTACTTCTGGCTTTTTTTGGTGATTAATTGGAGATTAGAGATTCACAGGCTTTCCTACTCCAGCTGGCTTTGAACCATGATCCTTAGATCTGAGCCTCCTGAGTAGCTAGGATTACAGGCATGAGCCACCAGTACTGGGATTCATTCATTTGGCAGATACCCTTTATGTACCTGCCATGTTCAGAGACACACCTCCAAGGGACCAAGGTGGAATTTGACATGGTTCTGGCCTCAGGAGCTCACTAAGTAATTGAATAGATAGGTATAAATGAATATATATTTATATGTATATGCATACGAATTCATACATATACAAACATATGTATTTATGTGTAGGTATGTCGTATACTTTCTTCTTTCTTTCTTTCTTTCTTTCTTTTTTGCCAGTCTTGGGGCTTGAACTCAGGGCCTGGGCACTGTCCCTGAGCCTCTCTGTACTCAAGGCTAGTACTCTACCACTTGAGCCACAGCACTACCTCTGACTTTTTTTGTGTATGTGGTACTGAGGAATCGAATCCAGGACTAGTCAAGCCCTGGATGCTAGTCAAGCACTCTACCACTAAGCCACATTCCCAGCCCATATACATACTTTCACTATGGAAAACTAGAGTTTTTTCTTTTTCAGATCATGGAACACTTTAGATTGCTGGTATAGTTTGAGGAGGGCAATTAAGTCGGTGTTCCTATTCCTGTTTTTCAACCCACTGCAGACATTACCAATCGATCACAGATTCCTTTTTTTGGGTCCTGATGTTGCTTTAGCATTCTTTTCAACTTGTGTTCTAAGAAGCTTCACTGTGAGGAGAAACCTATTTGACATCCTCAGCCTAGTTAATAGTGAAAAATCACTTCAACCTCAGATTTCACTAAAATAAAGTAGGGTTTTTTGTTTTTTTTCTTTTTTTAACAATTAGGCAGGCACCAGCGGCTCATGCATGTAATTGTAGCTACTCAGGAGGCTGAGATATGAGAATCACCATTTGAAGCCAGCCAGAGCAGTAAAGTCCATAAGACTCTTATTCCAATTAACCACCAGAAAAACCAGAAGTGGCACTGTGACTCAAGTGGTGGAGTACTAGCCTTGAGCTGTAGAGCTAAAGGACAGCACCCAGGCCCCGAGTTCAAGCCCCATGACAATAAATAAATAAAATAAAAAAATAAAGGAACAACTTACAAACCCTTGGAACCTCCCCCATGTCTGCTTTCCAACACAGATTTAAACTTCAAATTTAGGGTAAGAAATTAAGGAACTAAAGGAAATACATTTGGCTGGGACTCAGGAACATACTTTCACATGGATTTCCTAAAAGACTCTCTTCTAGCCTTCCAACAAAGGGAGAAACATTGAGACACTCACCCAAACCTGCGAGCTGAGAGGAAAGGGAAGATGGGGGTGCTGTGCTCCCCACCATGGGGCTCACCACAGCAGGAGAGCCAGGACCCAGGTCTATTAAGTTGTCTTCAGTAACTTCATTCAGTACCTGTCAGGACATGAAATGGGCAATGAGATCCAAGCCCTTGAGTTAGTTTTGAGGTAAAAGCGGGTAGAGACCTATGCTAGACTATGCTTAAGGAAAGGCATCATTCACTGCCCAACACAGATGCAAAGTAGTTCTCCTTACCCACCTTTAGGGCCAACAGTGGGCCTAGGCTGTTGGTGAGCTCCATGCCTGAGCTTCCTCCCCTTCCTCACTTACAGGAGGCACAATGAGTCACCAGGGTAGTGACTGCCCTGGGAACTTAAAGCAGGTTTCCTTCCGCTATCCTATTGGGGTACTTGCTGGCTCTCCCTCTGTTTTTCTTTAAACAGAACTTGCTCTGCAGCTACCTAAGCATTTTAGTGTCTGTTTAAAAAACAAGAAACAAGCTGGGCACTGGTGGCTCACGCCTGTAATCCTAGCTACTCAGGAGGCTGAGATCTGAGGATCGCGGTTCAAAGCCAGCCCAAGCAGGAAAGACCCTGAGACTCCTATCTCCAATAAACCACCAGAAAACCGGAAGTGGTGCTGTAGCTCAAGTGGTAGAGCGCTCGCCTTGATCTGAAGAGCTGAGGGACAGCACTCAGGCCCAGAGTTCAAGCCCCACGACCGACCAAAAAAAAAACAAGACACAAACCCAGAAGCCCAACTAGGGTAGCTCGTGTGTGTGTGTGTGTGTGTGTGTGTGTGTGTGTGTATGGGGGGTGTGCTACCTCAGGAGATGAGGAAGGTATAAAGGACACTTACTCCATTGCTGGTGTTCTGAACTGATCGGCCCGACCTGTACCGCTCGAACCTATCAGAGAAGGGAAAGTAGAAGTAAGAAGTGTGCAAAGCCCTGCTGGCTATGCTCATGACTTGTGAAAAATATAGGGAACCCAAGAGAGGCCAAATTTCCTGTGAAAAGGACCAAACATTGGGGGAGTAGAGCGGACTCCACACTTAACCAACTTTGCCATGTCTTTCTCTATGTGGAGCTCCAGCTTCTCTGAGTTGGTATCAGGGACTAGGGGGTGGCTGGGACCTGGAGGCCACCAGAAGCATCTGATGTTCCTCTGGCCTCTGGAGGAGAGGTTATTCCAACCATTTTGCCTCAGGCATCCCATATATCTGTCTATAAAGCCAGGCTGAAAGGGTATAGGCTTCCTTACTTCAAAGAGCTCTGCTAGAGAGCAATTAGCGCTTGTGGTTAAAATGCCCCTAGCTCAGTCTTTGCAAGAAAGGAACAGGTAGAACAGAAACAGCTTAGAAGAGGGTAGCACAGGGCTCTAGCCACAGCTGGAGGAAAGGCTCACCAGGAACTGTGAAGAGCTTTGGGCTGCTTCCCATCCCCATCAGGGGGCTGTCAGGATAGTAGAGCATCTCCTGTACCCTGAGTGAATGTATGGCTGCAGATGTGGGTTACTGCAGAAAGCATTTCTCCTGCTACCACCAAGCCATCCTCATACCAGATGGGGGATAAATGAGCAGTTGTGAGGATCATATGGGGGACAGTAGACCCTGTGCTGCATCATGTTTAAATATTCCAAATGCCATAAGCAAAGAGGCAGCCAAGTGATTTTCTCCAGGCACTGTCAGAGAAATCAGGCTTTACAGAGGCACAATGGTCTATGTTGCCCCTTCCCCATCTTGTCACATCAAGTACCTAGAGACAAAGGATCCTCTGGAGATAAAGTCTGGCTAGAGTGTCCAGGATGATTTTAAGAAAGACTTGTCTGTCCAAGCATGGTGACACACACATGTAATCCCAACACTTGGGAGGCAGAAGCAAGAGGATTATGAGTTTCAGGAGGGTCTACACTACACAGCAAAACCCTGTTTCCAAACAACAAAACACCACCTCATCAAATAAATAACCAAATAAATCAAAACCTGGGTTCTGGTAGCTCACACCTATAATCATAGCTATACCGACGGTAGAAATCTGGGGATCATAGTTCATGGCCAGTTTGGGCAGACACATCTATAACTCTTTCCTGCAATTAGCCAGCAAAAATTGAAGCATAGCTCAAGTGGTAGAACACTAACGGCAGGAAAAAAGACAAGTGTTTTAACTGTTAAAACCCAAGCCCACCTCGAATGAGGAAACCACACAGCAAGACTAGGGGGTGGTAGGTTTTGAGCAAGGGCCTTCAGATCTGCTTCTGTCCTTGGACTGACACATTGGAGGCTGATGGGAGTCCCCACATTCCTACTGGCAGAGGTGTCTTTGTCTGTCAGATGAGCACAGGACCACCAAGCCCTACTGCCACAGTCAGAAGCTAAGGCAACTGTAGGCGTGACAACCACATTACCCTCAAGCACTCAAATACAGTATCTGTCTTTTGACCCTAATTGATGCCAAATCCTGTTCTCCTGACAAATCAATGCAGTAAGCTGGTGCACAAACAGCCAAGACTGCAAATCTCCAGGGGATTCAAGCTACTGTCAGGCCCTCTGGAGCCTAGTCAAGGTCTTTTCTGGTCCTGACTCTGGGTCATCAGAAAAGCCTAAAGTGTTTCATCAGGAGCAGGGATAGGAGCTGTGCTTAGCATTGTATTTAAAACTAGGTCCAGATGAGACATTTTGAACTTCGTCCCCAAAAATGCTTTGGAAAAGGAGACAAATTTGCAGGTTTGTTACTTCAAGCCTCCAAGTGATATGGCTGCAGAAAGAACTGAAAGGAGTGTGTTTCCTGAGGAGCAGTGATGGAGCAGCAGCACTCCGCACTCCCACCCTGCCTGCTTCTCCCCAGAATACTCCAGACAGGCTGACATTTACAAAGATCTTCTTTTTTTTCTAGATGGAAAAGAGGAAATCCTTTTTCTTAGTAGAGATCCCCCCCCCTTAATCCTTTTCAAATTCAAAAGATCATCAAAGGAGCAGGTGTAGCAGCTCCAGGCCCAGACAACTCCTCCCTCCCCCAGTCCTAGCTTTACCTCCCTGCGGCTGGGGTGATGGGGGAAAAGGCAGAGCAGCTTGAGGCTTACAAAGGGCAGAGCTGAGTTCTGCACATCAACTACCTGCTGCTCAGTTCTCAGGAGAACAAGAAGCATTTTCTCTGTCATCTGGGGAACAAATTAGCATCTCTGATGAGTATTTTCCAACTCTAATCTTTTCCCAGCTCTCTTTCTTTCCCTCCCCCTAGCTTATGAAAGAAATCTCTCTGTTATGGCATCAATCTTTTCAAGTGGAAAAAAAAAAAAAAAGGACTCTGGCCCCCACCTCTCATAGCGGAGGAAGACATTGTTGAGGTCGTCATTGACGTGCAGTAATTCCTCGGTGACCTCCTCATTGGACACGCGGGAGATGAGCTCTACGATGCGGTGCTGCATGGCCCGGCAGGTCCTGTTTAGCTCCTAGGGAACACACACACCTCTGCACAGCCTGCTGGGAATGCTTTTTGTCACATTCTATTGCCTTTGAAAAGATTTGTACTGATTCTTTAAAGTCACGGAAGGAGTACATGCTTGTTCATAAAACCAGACGTGCAGAGAATGCAAAGTAACAGCTCCCACCTCGCCACCTCCCCTCCTGCCTCCGAGGAAACAAGTAGAGGGACAAATGTGCACAGATTCGTACTGTTTTGTGAATATGTTTGTACAGATCATTTAAAAAGATATAATAATGTGATTCTCTGTGGCTTTTTTTTTCTCAACAAAATCTTTCAAGCCCTTCTCACCATTACTTTCCTCATTCCTTTGTGTGTGTATCACAACATGGCTCACGTTCTGCTACTGTCTAGCATGGGGTCTCTCTTTTTTAGGTTAGCCCAAATAATGCAGCAATGAACATTTGTATAACTATATGCTTACATACTTTAACAGGTACTGTCATGGCATAAGTTTGTCAGAAGTGCAGTTTCTGGGTGACAGAGTATGTATGGTATTTAGAATATTGATTAGTAACAGTAAAAGATCCTCTGAAAATACAGATCAGCTTACTTAATACTGCCAGTAATGGCATGAGATATATGTATATCTATCTCTCTATCTATCTCTCTGTATTTTTTTTGTCGGTTGTGGGGCCTGAACTCTGGGCCTGGGCACTGTCCCTCAGCTCTTCAGCTCAAGGCTAGCGCTATACCACTTGAGCCACAGCACTGTTTCTGGCTTTTTCTGCTTATGTGGTGCTGAGGAATTGAACCCAGGGCCTCATGCATGCAAGGTAAGCACTCTTCCTAGCCCCCATGAGAATATTTTATGACTGAATTAGGTAACTTTGGTGACATGTCTGTCACCTTGCTATCTCAGAAGCTCTGCAATCTCCCTGCTGGCTAAAGATGACACTTGCTTCCCCCCCATCCCGTCCCCCCCAGTCACCACAGAGGTCCTCTTGACCTTTAGAAGCAATCCTCTTGAACATGGCTTGGCTTCCATGATTCAGTCCTGACCCAGAGCAACTGCTTCCCTGGTACTCTTGTTTGAACTTGTTTGTGGGGCTTCCTCACACACTTGCCAGGCCCCACCCTCTTGAATGCCAGTCTGAGGACGTTACCTAGTAAAGAAGTGGCAGGTCTGTAGGGTGGCCCTTCAGCCTTCCCAACTACCGGAGATGCCTAAGAACAAAATTCTCAGCCCCAGGGTCCACTAGGATCCAGGCAGGTGAGATGCTGTCCCCATTTATCCAGCCCTTGGGGAGAGCAGATGAGCCAGTGAGCTAAGGGGATAAAGAATGGAGACACTCTTCCTTCTCACAGCTGGGTCTCAGAGATATGTCAGCTTGAAAACATGTCTGGCAGAAGTAACCAATCTAGTCCCAGCAGGCACAGGAAATCTTTGCCTTTTTTTTTTTTTTTTGGTCTCATCATCTCACTGTCCAGGCTAGAAGGTCTTCTCTCTCACCAGACAGTAACCTCCTTGAGAGGGGAATTGTCACAGCCATCTGTGTATGCCCTGAAGCCAGGCACTGAGCCTCACATAGTGAAAAGGCTCCAGTGGTTGTCTGCTGAATTAGATCACTGAGATGGTCAAGCATGTAAAGTAGGAAACCCAGGGTGCCCCTTCTGCAGTCTCCCTGGTTCCCAGTAATATAGCTCTCACAGGCAGAATTACCATCACTGAGCTCCCAGTGAGCTTCCCCTCAGATAGCAACTCAGGTCTCTCTTCCCATCTCTGCAGGGTCATGACTGATACATAGGGGCCTACTCTCCAAGAGCACTTAAGAGAATGAGTGAATGAAGATAGTTTGCATTCCTTCTGCCCACCTCAGTCCAAAGTATCAGCACTTTTTATCTCACTACTGCAGGGTGTGTATCCTGCAGGTGAGAGTACAGTGAGGCCCTCAACAGGCTGCTTCTGCTCTTTCTCTTCCCATGGTGTTCAACCTTGGGGCTCTCTCTCTGAGAGTGACAGCAGCTGAGAAATGAAGCCTGTCCCAGGTATATTACCCTATGATCATCTCAGTACAGCTGTATTTATTGGAACAGAAGAAATCTGGAATCAGGCAGCTGGGTACATATAAGTTTAGTGCTCATCTTGACCAAAAGCTTTCTTGGAGACTCCTCGACTGTGGGTCTGCCACCTCGCTAGGCCTGTTTCTCTGGTCACGTTAATGTTTCCCCTTTGTCCTGGTTCTACCCTCTGCACAGTCACAATGGTGCTGTCAGTCTATTTGATCATTGAGGAAAGAAGCCTAGTATCTGGTTCTCTGAACAGACTCCCATCCTAGGTTTTAGAGAAGGCAGTGTCGTTCCTGAAGCAGACTCTCTAGGGCCCATGCTCTCAAGCAGAGGCAGACACCCTCCCCCCAGGCCCAGAACAAAAAGTACAGCCCTGTCTGGTGCTTATGGCCCAACAGCAAGCTCTGGGTTAGGGGAGGGAAGGACAACAGTCAGATCTCATCAGGACTGAAGGCCAACAGGTAAAATTCAGACCAATGAGTTAGAAGTCTGGAGCATATTGTGGGAGACAATTCCAATGCTCTACAGAAGCTTGGAGTATCACTGCCTAGAGCCCATGGATAATCTCCAAACATACCTCAGATTCAAGGATGGCAGGTGGCCTTGGGCACTCATCACACTGCTCAGGAGCCCTAGAAGTTGGCACTGGCAAGCCATGTCCCTTCTTTTCTATCCACTCCTATGTATCCTTTAGAACCTCAGGTTATTTTTTCCATCCCAGTACTTCATCATATAAACTCTCTCTCTCTCTCTCCCTTCCTCTCTTCCTCCTTCCCTCCCTCCCTTTCTTTCTTTTACCTTCTCTTTCTTTTTTTCCCTTTCTTTTCTTTTTTCTTTTTTGCTAGTCCTAGGTCTTGAACTCAGGGCTTACACAATGTCACTGTTTTTTTTTTTTTTGGTTGGTCGTGGGGCTTGCACTCTGGGCCTAAGAGCTGTCTTCAGCTCAAGGTGAGATCTCTACCGCTTGAGCCACAGCACTACTTCTGGTTTTCCAGTGGTTTATTGGAGATAAGAGTCTCTTGGAGTTTCCTGCCCGGGCTGGCTTTGAACTGTAATCCACAGATCTTAGCCTCCTGAGTAGCTAGGATTACAGCCACTGGCACTCAGCTTGTTTTTGTTTTTTCGCTTAAAGCTAGCACTCTACTACTTGAGCCACATCTCTACTTCTGGCTTTTTGGTGGTTAACTGTAGATAAGAGTCTCACAGACTTTTCTGCCCAGGCTGGCTTCAAACAGTGGTCTTCAGATCTCAGCCTTCTGAGGAGCAAGGATTACAAGTGAGAGCCACCAGTACCTGGTGATCACGTAAATTTTCAAACAAAGCAAAGTAAATATACCATCACCTATACTCTGATTTTTGCCACATCTCCCACTTACCCATACTCCCATATACTGGAAATGTTTTCTGGGGACCCCTATCCATTTCTTCTCCCTTAAAGACTACAAAACATTCCAGGTACAGCTTGACAGCAGCTGTCATCTTAGATTGTAATGAGAGGTCCTATAGCAGAGCCTCCAAGTGATGACCAGACATACCCTACCCCAGACAGCAGAAGTCCAGGACAGAATTATGCTGACAGATGGCAATTAGGTCTAGATGAGAATCATGCAGAACTCCTTAGCAGACTACAGGGAGTGCCTCAGAAACTAAGCCAGTGCAGTGGCTCATGCCTGTAATCCCAATTACTCAGGAGGTAGAGTTAGGAAGATCATGGTTCAAGGTCAGCCCAGGCAAAAGCTTAAGACCTATCTGAAAAACAAACTAAAAGAAAAATGACTAGAGGCATGGCCAAAGTAGCAGATAGGTTCTGAGTTCAAATCTTAGCATTGTGAAAAATCAAGCATTCAAACAAGCAAACAAAACATAGCTACAAATCCCCTAAGCATTAGGACCCCTGGATGGGAGTGGGCAGGGACTTGTCTCTATCTTTCCCACAGAGCCTGCCCCAGCTGGGTGCTGGGGAGTGAGCAGCAGCAACAGACTGGTTAGTGCTCTCCACTTCTCCAGGACTCTGGCCTCTCCCTGTGTAAAATAAGAGGGCTGTGTACTTCAAACCTGAAGCATTCTTCAGAGTGCCAGTGAGGTGACCCAGCAGTCTCCAGGCCGCCTGCTCCACCGCAGGGGAGGCAGCTCTGCTCGTACCTATTTTGCACACTGCCATACTCTGTAGAATTCTGTTTTTAGAAGAAGGGGTTCCCATCAATTTCAAAACCTTTGGGGAGTGCTATAAGGACTTCTGCAGCTCTCACATTATGACCTCAGCTTGGAGACTCAAGATATAGACTGTAGTAATCTTATGGACACTAAGCACCAGAAACCTATGTCCTGGCCTTGCAATTGCTGCCTCTTTCCCCACTGCCCTCCTGTTGGGGTAGTGGCTGGAACAGTCTGCACTCTGTAAGCAGTTTCACAGGCTTCATTTTGGGGTGGCATCTCAACAGCTTTTCCAAGTGCTCCACTTAGAGATAGACCCAAAGACCATCCTGGACCTTCTCGTTTTTGTTTTGTTTATTTGCCAGTCATGGTACCTGAACTCTGGGCCTGGGCACTGTCCCTCAGCTCTTCAGCTCAAGGCTAGCACTCTACCACTTGAGCCACAGCACCACTTCCAGCTTTTTCTGCTTATGTGGTGCTGAGGAATCGAACCCAGGGCCTCAAGCATGCAAGGCAAGCGCTCTACCACTGAGCCACCTTCCCAGCCCCCATCCTGGACCTTCTCTATCAGTCATCTCTGCACACAGAAAATTCTACCATTGGGCTGGGAAGGTGGCTCAGTGGTAGAGCGCTTGCCTTGCATGCTTGAGGCCCTGGGTTCGATTCCTCAGCACCACATAAGCACAAAGAAAAAAGCCGGAAGTGGTATGTGGCCCCAGTGGTAGAGCACTAGCCTTGAGCTGAAGAGCTGAGGGACAGCGCCCAGGCCCAGAGTTCAGGCTCCAAGACCGGACCCAAAAAAAA